CAACCATGACTGAATGCTTTTGATCTGATTGGTCCACACAGAAAAAAAGCTTGTGATCTAGACTTAGTGACCACTTCGAGAAGATTTTTTTCTTTCCAGAATATTTTTAAAGTAAAAAATTTCTGACTAAAGTAATAATTTGCTGCGGTTTGAATGTGTTGTAACTATTCTGTCTCCCATTCGGTGCACATTTATGTGCTGAATCTTAGCATGCAGCTTAGCTATGGGTGTGACACAACTAATTACAGTGCCACATATAGACATCTGATTGGTCACCGCTCAGTTCATTTGCATAATGTTCACCCAGAAGGAGAGCGAGCAGAGTGTGCGTCAGCACGTTAGTGTATCAGGTTAATGTATGTCTATACTGCCGTATTTCGCCACATTATAGCATGATGACATTAGAATAAATACAAATAAATATACTATAGAGAACATTACCTGCCTGACTGCATTGTGCCAAGTGTAAAGTTTGGTAGAGGAGGGATAATGCTATGGGCTTGTTTTCAGGGGTTGGACCTGGCCCACAGGTTTGCTTCCACACTTCTTGCTTCACTCCAACCATTGCATGGATTTGTTTGATTCCATCAGCAGCGCCTGATTTAATTTAATGAAAGATTGATTAGATAAAGGTTTTGGGTGGTAACTGTAAATACTGTTTATAAGCTTATTTGTATTTATTCTACTATATTTGGTTCCACATAAATACATGCTAACTGCTCATATAAATGTTGATACATATCATTTTCTCAGATGGCCTAAGACTTATGCCTAGTTTATCAGCCTCATAACTGCAGAAACAAATTTCAGACACCAATCCTGTCTTGGCTGATCCGCTACATTATTATGATGGAGGGGGGTGATAAATTGGATTTTCTATTGAATTAACTGTTGCTTTAAGGGTCAGAGGCGCCAGGCGCTGAGGCATGCAGGGGTGGACGTGGCTGTGTTGTGTATGCGTGGTGATGGATGTTGTCTCTGTGTGAGCTCAGCTGGCTGGCGTGTGGCGTGCCTGCAGGAGAGTGTTAAAGAGAAGAGAAGATCCTCTGCGTTACATTAGCCTGTGTGAATGCGCCTCACTGTCTTCCTCCAACCCTGACGCCCTTGATCAGGTTACGGACGATGTGTGGTTCAGTCTGTATGTGTGAAGCAGTATTTCTCCACCTGCCCACCTGCCAAACAAGTGTCTCTATGGCTTAGGTAGACGTTAAAGCTCTTTTCTTGTCATTTTCTTACTATATTGACCTGCTTCTCTACCAAACTTGCACATAATATCCTGCAGTACCGTGACTGTCTGAAAGGATTTTGCTTATTTTTATTATTTCATACATTTTAGGATAATAATTAAGAAGTGTTAAAGGGCAATTCCAACAAATTGTCAAAATTTCTGCATAATTCAATGTTCGAGAGGTTTGATGTGAAATGGTTTATTGTAAGAAATTTAGCATCTCTGATTTCTTTACAGTGGTGGTGATAGGAACTAGGGGTTGTAATGTCTACAGAACGTTTTATTTACTATCAAAAACCACCAGTGAATCTACAGTGTCTTTTTTTAGTATGTAATGTTGATGATGATAAAATAGTGGTCTTTCTAAAAATATGTTCTATGACAAAACCTTCTCAACACTATCAGAAATCTGCCTCAGGCATCAGACAGCGTATTTATTTCAACTTCATGTCATATCTTTCTGGCAGGGAGCTTTTAGAGGCATTAAACTCTTCAGACGTCTGGTTCCTATCACCACCACTGTGAGCAGTTCTGACTGTGAGTTTCTCTAGAATGGAGCATTTCACACCAAACCACTCTGAATGACTTTGTTTACATCTTAATAATTAAATTTTGCAAGCATTTTGGAAAATCGTTGGAATTATCCTTTAATGAGATGATTTTCCAAGGCTTGAAGAAGCTCCTACCTGTGCTGAGCACTTGTTGGTGGCTGAAAAGAGCTTGTTGGGGGTCATTTAATAAAAGATACATCATTTTAAAAAGTCTTTAGGTCAAAATGTCTTTAAGAGTGCAAAAAAACTCACTTTGTTTCAAGTCCAAACTTGTGTCTGGTGCTGCATATATACCCTTTCAGCAGATACTCCTCAGTGTCCTCAGGAGCAAATATGCAGGGGACAGCAGCTGCTGTTACATATCAGTGTCTCAGGAAGCCACAGTGAGCATCAATAACAATAGCTGACCATAATGCCTTATACATTCATGGCAGCAATTAGGTTGCATATGTGGGATAATGCTAGCCATTTGTCTGACATGGGAACTAATGAATAATTCATGCACCGCGCACCGGTATTCATCGTACACATTACAAATAAAATAACCAGGGATTTGTCAGTGGTGCCAGAGATTGGCATGCAGAGCACATTTGGCACATGGAAACATTCTCAACATGGCCCATTGTAAGTACAGATTTATTTCAGAGAGGGAGAACTGTTGCATTTATGTACGATCGTGCTTGGCTCGATTTCTCCGGAGCGTCTGGATGGGCTCAGACTGGCCTGGCTGGCCTCCAGCCCAACGGTGCGATTGGTCTCTGCTAGGAATCGATGGGATTCCTTCCCGGAATTGAAAACTTGTGTCACCCGGTAGCTCCATGCTCCTGAGCCCGCGCTCAGGGTTGCCTTATCAGGTTCACATTCTCCTTCCTAGAGAAGAAGCTGGATGATGTTGGGTTACAGTAACATGAGCTGTAGCATTCCATTCTCTGAAGCTTTCTTTGTACACCCTCCTCCCCTCCCTCCTCCTCCCCGCACCTTGTTGTGGTAGCAGATAAGTTGCAGTCCAGCGTGGTCATCCACGCAGGCTTCCCTCTGAACCCTCTGAACTGCAGCCTACATTCAGCTGGCATAGCAGTGCCACAGAGAGGTGACTGATGTGTGTTTGTTTTTGTACACCGTCCTCATTGAGAAAAACAGGAGTAACCTGTGGCATCAAAACCAACAAAACAGTCCTGACAACAACATTTTTAAAGCTGAAATAATTAAAAATGTATTTATTTATTTGGTTGTGGTTCAGTGTAAGTGAATGTAAATGTATTTTGTTTTAATTGTGGACCAATTCTGTTGATTCATTTGTGATGAGAATGTTTACATAATGTAAAATACATAATGTATTTGTCACTGTTGTCGGAACAAAACCTCATATCTTCAAATTGGTAACTTCACAAGAGAAGGAAAAAACCTTTTTTACTTTTAATGTAAGTCAATGGAACCAGACGTTTTTCCAAGTAATTCTGGGCTGTTTCTGTTGGTCCAAATGATGTCAAAAACTGCAGTTGTTATACAAACATACATTATGAATATATACTTACATATATGTAAAATACATGGGACATATTGATATTACATTCAGCTACTTACATATATATAAAACATATGAGACACAATACAAATATATTATACTTACATTCAGGACATATTCTCATTATATAAAGATGCACATGATGATGTGATGACCTCAACAAATACGCTAAACTGGGAAACATTTTGGAAAACTGCCCCACATGCAAAACAGTGGGGGGTAATAATCTCACATGAGCTTCACATGAATGGCACATTACCAAATAACTGTAAAGGCTAGCTGGCTAACTAGATTATCACACATACCACCGTTTAGAGCATAACAACAGCACAGAACAGACTAATCAGATCTACATGGCTGATGTTCACAAAATAACAGTGCTACACAGAGGCTTATGGGTATTCAAAAGGGCTAACACAACCCATACAAAGACCCCCTGGTCACCACAATGTAAATGATATGGAAGATATTAGTATTACATATAGATACTTGCATGTACATGTATAGGACACCCAGCATCTATTAGGAACTGGAGTTTTTAGGCTCCGTTCTTCTGTTTTTGGATTCTTTTGGTCTGAAGTTCAGTGACAAAGCACTAAAATCAACAGTAAAGGACAACAGGAGCTTAATTAACACAACAGAATGAAAATGACATGTAAAAATAAAGGTAGAAGTAAAGACGTTTGAAAATGCTTGGAAATGTAGGCCTGCATATCCATCAGAATTTTACTCAAGTGTGTGGAACTTGTACTACAGACTTCTGTGCATGTAATACGACACTTTCAGGATTGTACTGATGGAGCTCTGTGTTGTATTGTCTGTTTCCTCAGGCAGTAAACAAGTGTGTGAAATAATTCCATCTTCCACAAAGCCAGATATGATATTTTTTTAAGTTTCTCTCACGTCCTGCCAGATTATTATTATAAAAATCTCCCCTCTAGAGAAAAAGTCAAGCTGCACTACTGGTAATAGCGTTTGGAGACATGAAATCCACTCTGTAATAATAGGGTTATGATAATAATAACACAGGATTTAGTGGTGTTGCCAGTGAGCTGGACCTGAGGGAGACCCTGAAGCCAGCTCGGTGTAGATTGGAGAATAGTCAGGTATGGACAGATTTAGCTAAGTGGTTTTATTGCTGGAGTCGGGTTACTTGGCTACAGTTCTGGAGCCAGAGCTTCTGTGCTTTGTTTTTGAATTCATTTTTCCTAATAGCATAGAGAGATTAACCCTCAGAAGCCTAGAAATGCTATATACTATAAATATGTCATTGCTTTGTTACTATGCAACAGTAGTTTATAATTACATATTTAATTACACATTGAGCCACTCAGTGAATATTATTTACATTGAGTTTACATTCAGAAATGACAAATGTGGCAAAAATATAAAGGATATTTAAGATTTCTGCAAAACAAGACTATATGCAACAGTACCTGCTTAGCCACTTTAAATCATGATTAAATATCTCCTCTTCTTAAGGCTGAGTGATAAATCATTGTATTAAACTGCAGTTTGAAAGAGTGCAATGTTCAAAATGCAAGAACTGCAATCTTATTATCATACATTTAATATCATACATTATTCAACATTGTCTTACGGGTTTTGATTGGGGATGTTTAATGTAATAACGTAATAAAAAAAGGGCTGAAACTTAATTTTATTCTCCATGTCTGTCTTTTCTGTCTCATTGCAGAGTTGAAGTCCACAGGCACGGCCCACCACTTCGCCTTCCTGCTAAACTCCACTGACTACAGGATCCTGCGCATGGACGAGGATCATGACCGCATGTATGTGGGCAGCAAGGACTACATCCTGTCACTGGACCTGAATGACATCAACAAAGATCCCCTCATAGTAAGCATGTTTCTCCGTCACTCTCAGTGTCCTTCTCCTAAGCCCTCAAAATGAAGGTGAATTATTTAGATATTAATCTTAAGACTTATTAAAGCAACTATAAAACTCACTTAAATAACAAAGGAAATCAGCCAATCAGATTTTAGAACAGGAATATTCAGAACTGCTATGAAGTACTATGAATTATTCTATATCTACTATGAATAATTCAGCAATTCTTATGAATTATTCAGTAATTCCTATGAATAATTCAGTATCTACTATGAATTAGCCAGTAACTATAATTCATTGTTTTGTATCTGGTCCAAATTATTCAGCAACTACTGTGAATTATTATGTATTTACTACAAATTATTCAGTATCTTGTATGAATTATTATGTATTTGCTATAAATTATTCAGTATCTTGTATGAATTATTATGTATTTGCTATAAATTATTCAGTATCTTCTATGAATTATTACATATTTACTATAAATGATTCAGCAACTGCTATGAATTATTATGCATTTACAACAAATTATTCAGCATCTTCTATGAATTATTATATATTTGCTATAAATTATTCCGTATCCCCTATTAATTACTCAGTAACTACAATTTATTACTCAGTTTCTACTATGAATTATTCTGTATCTACTATAAATTATTCAGTAAGTACTATTAAAGTAATAAGTAAAGTGTTCATAAGAGTGATTGGGAATTGAAGGGGCTAAATCTATTTGGTTCCTCTGGTGGAGGTCAAAGGGCACCTGCTACCCCTTGTTGCTCTCATTTATTAATCTCCTCTTTTTCAGATCCACTGGCCTGTGGCTCCTCAGAGGAGGACTGAATGTGTTCTGTCTGGGAAGGACATCAACGTAAGTGTCCACCCTACAAAACTCTGACTTAAAATGGACAGATTTGTGGACAGATTTGTGATAGAAGCCCAGTGACCTTCCGCTCTGCCTTTTTTAAAGTCTCTGGTCTGTTCATTGCTCATAAATACAGCACCATATTTGGATGTGAATTGTTCCTGAGGCAATACTGCAAAGGCCACGCATAAGCCAAACACCGCCTCTTCTCAGATAACGCCTAAGAAACCATCTAGAACCTTCAAAATGCCATAGAACATAAGTTTAACACTTTAAGGCTTGTGCAAAAAGTGACCATTTCTACTGTTTAATATACTCTCCTCTCTTTTTGCATAATTTCTCAATTCCCATGCATTCATTGATAGAACTTGATCTATCAATGCCAAAAAATAGTAGATTTTCATTTAGTTTGTGTCACAAACTGCCTTTTTGAACAAGAAGACACATGAATAAGAGTATGTCAAAATATTGTTGCTCTGATTAAGAAAAGAGTAATAAGCACTTACCAATTCCAACTGCACTCTGAAAGAGCTAGAACTAGTTAAAGGGGTGAAAACAGAGACTCTGAATGGATCATTGGCGAGATGTTCAGTTTTATAGGGTTAAAATGATTCTGGGAAATATTAGTGCAGTGTTGCAGTGTGTGTCTGTTTCTGACCGCAGAGCTACTCTTGGCTGGTCCACAACACTGTCATGCCATTTATACCCATGCCAGCACTACACACACTACCATGTCAGTGTCACTGCTGTGCTTTCCATTGATGAATGGGGTGGTGGGGGGCTGATCAATTGTGCATCAACAGTTTGGCTACAGTCAGTAAATACAAACCTACAAGCAGTACTGTTCAAAAGTCAGGGACCACCCTTTCAGTCAACTCACCATTTTCCAGTCAAAACGTTATTCATTTTTCAGCATCAGGAAAAAATAAGAAAGGACCATATATGTAACAGAAAATTACACAGAAGCATTTCAGCATTTAAAGTGTCCACGTTTTGTCTTTATTACAGCTTTAATTTTTTGGGGAGACTTGCTTTCAGTTTTTCAAAGAAACCTGCAGGGATATTTTTCCACATCTTAAAAGCTCAGTCTTAAAAGTTGGTTTTGCATTTTCTGCTTCTCACAGTCCAATAGATGTATTGGTCCATAACACCTTAGACCACATCTCAGATGTCCAGTTTTGGCATGAGATATGGCATGCATCAGATCTGAAGCAGCTTGATTTTCTCCTCTCTCTCAAAGATGAAAGCTTTACGTGCTGTTTTTCTTTTTATCTACCAGGTCATGCACTCTTGTTAGGAGCCCCATTTTCTCTGTAGTTTTTAATCATTTTTTGAAGTCCAGATTCAGAAACTTAAATTTTTTCTCCTTTTTTCACTTTATGCAAGTCTCCTCTAATCTCCTTAGAAATATCTCATTTAGCCTTTTTAGATGCACATGAGAGGGAGATAAGGTGTGTTTGCATAGCTGCTTGTGTACAAGTTAGTGTCTGTTTGAAGAGGAACGTAGTGTCAGTGACTCCTTTGGGAACAGCTTTTGTTGGAAGGTCACATTTGTAACTGGTTGGTTTTATGACTGGAAGGTTGGAAGAGGCAGTAGGTCCAAAAAAATAAGGAACGGATAAATTAAATACCGATAGATTTGATATTGAACTTAGTATTGGAGGCGTATCTGTACATTTATGTTAAATACATGTTTCCTGACCCTGATAAATAACTTACTTAATGACCATACTTAATGACCGTTTTGACTGGAATACGGTAGGTGTTTCCAATTAAATGGCCAATGACTGTAGGTACAATGTAGGTGTAACTCAGCTTATATGTGAGAGTGGCCCTTGAGTGGTCATTATTGTTTGGAACAAGACAAAATATATGAACCTCTTCTTCTGTCCCATGTGGCATATCAAGTGTTCACAATCTCAGCGCTGTGTGGTCTTTTTTAGGGCGAGTGTGGAAACTTCATCCGACTGATTGAGCCGTGGAACCGCACTCACCTGTACGTGTGTGGGACGGGCGCCTATAACCCCATCTGCACCTATGTGGACAGGGGTCACAAGTCGCAGGTAAGCCATCTGCTACAGGTGACCTGCTGAAACCTGCCAGTCAGGAGGTCAGAATTTCATTCGGGTTAGTCACAGGGCATTAGAATGGAACAAATCCACTCTGGATCAAGATAACAGTTTCTGCCTAAACACTTTTTAACCGTTTTGTTGATCTGCTGGTTTTTCTAGTTTTTGAATTAGTCGTAAAATGCACTATCATTAGTAAATCCCTGTGGATAATGTATTGAGTCTAAGAGTGGTCTTGTTGTGTCTGGTCTATAGCATTCAGGACTGTAACTATACTGTAAAAAAGGTTTTTCTTGGAAAGCAATTTTACCCTTCAAACTTTTCTATATAAATACAATTACATTTACACAAAGAAATGGCCTTTTTCATCCAGTTTAAACAGTATTTTTATGTCTTTCTCATTATAGCCAAAAGCATGTCTTTCATATATTTCTGCATGTTCTAAGCATAACAAGCATAATGCATCATCTGCAACCACAGTCTCAACCAGCATGTAATTAAAAGGCATGACACCATAGTCTGTAGTCTTTTTTTAACCAGCTTTGGAGGCTTAACCCACTAATGGCTTGTTTCGCAGGCTTTGCTCAACCAGCAGAGCCCTCGTGGCGGAGGCAGAACCAGCCGGGCTGCAGACCCCAGCGCATCACCCGAGCCATATGCACCCAAGGTGGGACAGGGTTTCCTTATATGGCTCATATAATGGAATTTTCCTTGCAGTGTAGAATTGAAAGTGTAGTATGTGAAGTATGGGTTGCATAGACTAGTGGAGATGAAACCAATTCCACTGTAAGCTTTGTAAAACTGCGCTGAAATGCAGGCTTGTGAGCCGGACTAGGTAGGTTTCTGCTAACTCTAATAGGAAAGAGCTATTTGATATCAAAATAAACCAATCACAGAACGTTTAGTGTAACATGCCTGTAACAAAAGCAAACTGCCTTTAGATAAACTGAAGTACCGGTCAGCAAACTCACGGTTTTACTTTCAAACAAACGCGGCAGCATGAATGCTCTCTGGTTCAGCCACTACAGAGATTCTGAGAGCTGTGGTGATTTTAGCATGCAGTTTACATCAGACAGTCAGTGTGCTTCTGAGGTCAGAGTGCCTGAGGCCAAAACTTACTGAAATACAGCAAAAAACTCTCAGACACCTTAAACTATTGCATTTGCCACCCCAGCCCCTGTTAGTAAGCTTATCACAGATGTACAGAATATTTTTGTTAATATGCTAATCGCTACTTTTTTGAATGGCTAGTTGATTTGTAAAGTCGACTAGTAGTCATGCAACCAATAATATAAGGGTTTCAAAATGATCCATTCACTTCCCAGACCAAATAATCCAAGTATTGACAGTAAGCTGCCAAAACAGCTTGTTTTGAACCATCATGGTTGTGATGTCACAGCCATGAACACATTTACATGTCGCTGCCCACCTAGCCTACAGAAGTTCCACCTGCACAGTCATGTTGAGGGGATATGGAGAGTTAATAGACAGTCTGTAGCAGAGTTATTGGGACGGGAGATGGTGAAAAACGAGTAAACGTTGTGCTGTTCCTAAAGACTTCCAAAGGATCCTCACATCTTTCCATTTTGTCTTGTTCTGCTATTGAATAAGGCATAATATGGTGCAGCCAGTCAGAACTTAAGTCATTTACACATATCAGTCTTAAAGGCACAGTAACAGAAACAGCCTATTCATTTCTAAGAGATAAAGAGAAGTCAGAAAATGCTCAATTAAATCTCCGTTATGGTCGATTAGGTACATAAAACCACACAAACATAAATGGATTTCAGAAAAGAAACCAAGAAAAATGTAGAAAATGACCCTTCAAGCACTTCTTGTGGGTTTTTGCTAGGTCATACGTCTTAGAAGTCATGTTAGGACAAGAATGTTATTTTATTAATGACTTGGCAGGTCATTTGAATCAGAAGAGGAGAAGACACGTACGCCCGTAGTGGCAGATGTTCTGTTCTGTTGTCGAAAGGTGTCAATGGGAAACAGAGAAAGTGCTGATTTTGGAAGCCTCATCCCATCAGGATTGTCTACACTTGCCCAGACAGTGCCTCCTGAGCCGAAGTGCATAAAAAATGCCAGACTCTTCTGACACCTCCTGATCGTATCGCGACATCAAAGTGATTAGTCAGCAAAAAAATTCATCTGCGCTGACTATTTTATGTGCTGTGCTGAGTATTTAATGTAAGGTATGCTCATAAAAGTGCTGGAGCAGAACATGTCCCAAAGGAGGATACGTTCCCCCCTGCGCGAGGGATGTTCCCCCAGTGCAAGCGTGTATGGAAATAGACGATTTGTCGAGACATGAATTTCGTGTATGGCAGTTGTCGAAATGAGGATTCGCACTTAAATGTTTTCCAGCTTTTATCTTGAAGTGAGATAATGTATATCATTTTTATAACAGTCTGATCTAGTTTGGTTGGAATTTCCATTTAGATCATTTGCTGTATGGGGAGGGTGCTTGGAAAAATAGTTCAGTTAATACAGTTTAATAGTTAGAGCTTGTTTTTATTGGATGTATATATGGTTGATATGTATGCAGAAAGGTCTTCCTAAAACAAGGACGTTGTTGCTGCAGGTGGGAACACTGTATCTCTGCCTGCAGTTGGCATGTACACTGTTTGTAGTGGAGTGAAGTATAGTGTAGCTGGCTGCTAACAAAATTAATTTGAGGAGAAGATAAGTAAAATAATGCAAGAGCAACATCATATCATTGGACACCACAGTAGGGCTGCAGTATATCATTTGTCAATCATTATTGGGATACTGGCCGTTGCAGTACTGATATCACAGACGACAAATGGACCACAGTAGAGATTTGTCTTCTCTTTATCTCTTAGAAATGAATAGGCTGTTTCTGTTTCTGTGCATTTAAGACTGGTATATGTTAATAACGTCAGATATGACTGGCTGCACCATATTATGCCACATTCAAAGGATGAGGATCCTTTGGAAGTGTTTGGGAATAGCACAACGTCCCAATATACTGTCTGTATTAACTCTCCTTATCCCCTCAATGTGATTGTGCAGGCTGAACTTGTGTAGGCTGAACAGGCAGTGACATGTCTTCATGTTCCTTGAGGATCCTGACTTACCCACAGATTTTCAATGATTTTACAGAATTTTGGTGATATTTAGTGAAATCCATTCTTTCCTCTACCCGTGCAGTGTTTCCCAGACCACTGGCTGCGAAACAACCCCTAAACATAAGAGATCTTCCCTCATGCTTAACAGTTGGCAAGGTGTTACTTTCATCAAATGCTGCTCATTTTTCTCCAAAAATACCTTTAGTGATTGTGACCGAAGTATTCCATTTTTACTTTATCAGTCCACAGCACTTTTTTCTGAATTACCCCGGCATATCTAGATGTTTTGCACACCTCAGATATTGTCTTTTGTGATGAGGTTGAAGGTAATGTTTCGCTCTGATGACTTTTCCATGCAGATCATACTAGTGCAAGAAACGCTGCACAGTAGAATTATGCACCACAAATCCTGTGTCAACTAAACCATCCTTCGGGCCCTTTGCTGTCATATGGGGGTTATGCTTTGCCTTTTTGAGCAGCATATGAGCAGAGCTGTATCTAAGAGTTTTTCTGGTCTTCCAGATTTTGTCTTGCCCAGTATGCGCTGGACTTGTCAATCCTTAATGACAATTCTTGACATTTCTACAAGTCAGTTAAGGCCTAATGAGTTAATTAAGTTCTGATACTTTACAACTAGAAGGGTAGAAAGGTAACCAAACTTCTGCAAATGCCACAATTATTATTATTATTATTATTATTATTATTTATTTTTGTATTTTAAATGCAAACTAAATTGGATTTTGCCCCATTTTATTCATGGCCATCTACTCCTACCAAGCTAGGAGGGTGATGGCTAGCATGTGCTACCTCCAAGACACAGTAAGTCAGCATGTCTTTGAACTGACAGCTCAATACACTTGGAGGAGAACATTAACTGCCTATTCTTTTAATGTCCAGCATCGCAATAAGTGATGTTTGGAAAACAAGGACCCATCCTATCCACAAAGAGTGAGCAAATTCAATTATGCTGTCTTGGATTTCTGGGGATGAAACCTCCTGATGAATGGGCCAGTGTGACAGTCGCATTACTCGAGAGCCCTCATATATCCATAGATATCCATATATTCAAAAGTGTTTTCTTATTTTAATAACCCGTGACTAACATAACAAGCATGGTCAACTGTTTTACTGTACAAACAGGCTTTTGACTGATCTCGCATGTTGTGACAGATTGTTTTGTGTTCAACTAAAAAAACAAAAAACAAAACCAGATGTTGCAAGCGCTGATGAAGAATCCCAAAGACTTTGAAATGCAATGAGTATGACACATTTTGTGTCGGCTGCAGGGATTGTGGTTTTAATTCATAAATAGTTGCATGCTGTAATGTCTTAGTAATATATGTGGTTATTCTTTGTAGCTGCTTGCATTCGGCCAAACTTTGACATTGAACTGATGATGCTATCCTCTGCCTGTCTGGGCAGTTTAAAATAACCTTTTATGGAAAGTCAGCAGATTGGGTTGCTTCAAGTTCAGACTGTTGTGGATTAGAATGCAGAAATACCTACAGACTAAAATCTAGTGATTAGGGTCCCTGGTGGTATTAAACGATTATTGGCATTGTCCATTTATTCACTCTTAAAAAAAATACTCCAGCTAATACAGCCGCCCATTGGCTTCTATTATAAGCACATTTGGAGTCAACTGGTTTTCTAGTCTTTTCTCAGTACATGGAAACACATGGAAAATATTGTCCATGGTAATCAACCGTATGTTACAGATGCGGCCAGTAGAGGTTAGGTTCAATAACGCTGGAGTATTCCTTTAACAGATATTCCTCCATGCAGTCTCAAGCCAGGAAAGGTCTACATAAGTTATACCATCTAGTAATCAATGTTTCTTCTAATGTATGCTTATTAGAGTCATTAATGCTGACCTTATGTGCGTTTTCCCTCCGTTCCAGGAATACATTTTCCGTCTGGAGCCGGGTAAAGTGGATTCTGGGAAGGGAAAATGTCCATTTGACCCCAAACTGAACAGCGTGTCTGCTTTGATCAGTAAGGACCTCTCAGCCATACCTGACCATTAGCTGTTTTTATTCTTCAGCCCTTTTAGACCACCTCAGCCAGACATTGCAGCTCAACAGATACAAATCAGAACATGATTCCATCCTTCCCTTGTAGAATCAAATTAGCATGTCTTTAATGCGTGTGTGTCTATGTCTCGCTCCTTCTTATTCGCTCTCTCTCTCTCTCTTTGGGCAGATGGCCAACTCTATGCTGGAGTCTACATCGATTTTATGGGAACGGACTCAGCCATTTTCCGCACACTAGGAAAACACACAGCGATGAGGACTGACCAGTACAACTCACGCTGGCTCAATGGTACGAACACATGCACACGAGAGTAGAGCTGGGTATCGTTCTGAACTTTTACAGATACATTTATGGCATTTGGCAGATGCTCTTATTCAGAATAACCTGCAGTTTAATCAGGTTACAGAGGGAGGTGAATGTAGAGTCTTGCCCAAGGATTTTATTGGTATAACAGGATGTTCTTGCCTGTGGAGGGCAGAGCATTACCCACCACACCGCACCAGCCTACAGATACATTGACTTCAATAGCGACTTCCGGATAATGCCTTTTTCAGCACCTTCTTTTAAATCACAGACAGTGGGTTTGGCTTAAACCTGAAATTAGTGTGAGGTAGTGGAAGTGGGTATATTTACCAACTGCAATGGTCTGCAGACTATTTAAGAAGCACTGAAGTTGATAACATGCATAAGGAATGTTATTTACACAGCCAATCAGCAGACTAGATTTTGGAACAAGCTCATAGCTCATGAGTTTTAATGAGACCGACTACTTAGGTGTTGAAATTTGGTATTGATTGAATTTTTTAATACTTAGTAGTGCTGAAGTAATTTGGTTGGTACCATGACAGTATCACATTTGGATACCCATCCCTTCACACTTAAAAAAGATGGTTCTTCAAGGGTTCTTTAGTAAAGAAAATTGTTCTTTAAAGAACCATGAACACTCAAAGAACCCTTTGCATGATTGAAGGGTTCTTTGCATCATGAAAGGGTTCTTCAGATTGATGGAGGCTGTGTTTTATATGGCTCAATAAAGAAGCTTTTTGAAAAGGCTTTTGTAGAGCACCAAACAGGGTTCTTCTATTGCAACAAGCTTGACATCATAAAAATAGAAGAACCTTTTTGGTGTAAAACCCTTTTCAAAAAGGTTCTATATAGAACCATATACAACACATTTTCCCTTTCACCATGCAAAGAACCCTTTAGAACACATTCGCCAACAATCTGAAGAACGCTTTTGCGATGCAAAACACTACAATCATGCAAAGCGTTCTTTGAGTGTTCATGGTTCTGTTTAGAACTGTTTTCTTTACTGAAGATCCTTGAAGAACCGTATTTTTTAAGAGTGTACAGGGGGATGTTCATTAGAACTGTCATAACTATTTGATTGCTTTATTGATTTGTCATCAATAAAAATGTACCTCCATGATGAATTGACAATGATTAGTTGCCATTGTGCATGATGATAATGTCCGTACCATAATCTCTTTGGTACGTCTATAGTTCATAGTATTCATATAAAGACTGCCACAGAGGTTCATCATGTCACATGTGTACCTGATGATGCTGTGTCACTAAGAAAAGACTTCAGGTCCACTAACCATACCTTCACTCTCAGCTTTATTACAAACACTTACGCTGTATGTCCACTCACCAGCTACTTTTTGAGCTCCGTCTACCTTATAGGTCCACTATATAAGTGTCCACTATATCATTGGCCAGTTTCTGACCAAAACCTGCTCTTGTTTGAATACTATTTGGGTGGGGGTACATTATCAGTACAACAGTGACACTGATGTCGTAGTGTGTTTGGTGCTGGTATGAGTGTATCAGACATGGTGGTGTTGAGAGGACCGTCGCCAAAAACATCCAGGTGCATCTTATCAGAGTAAAGAAGGTCATGATTTTTGGGTGGAGCAGCAGTTGCATTGAAAAACTTTTATTTAAGTGAGCTTTTATATAACTAATCTGTGTTGTATATAACTATTTTTCATAAACAATTGACATAAAAAATTGAAAATCCTAAAAAATATGTGCATCATTACATCCCTGCTGTGCATGCCTGTAAGCTGTGCAAGGTGCAAACATTAATATATTATATATATGGGCTGGAGGTTAGGGAACCAGCCTTGTGACCAGAAGGTGGCCGGTTCGATCCACTGAGCTGACAGTACGTGCTCTTGAGCAAGGCACCTAACCCCCAACTGCTCCCCAGGCGCTGTGGATAGGGCTGCCCACCACTCTGGGCAAGTGTGCTCACTGCCCCCTAGTGTGTATGTGGTTGTTTCACCGCACAGATGGGTTAAATGTGGAGATGAATTTCCCCTTTGTGGGATTCATTTTTATTTTATTATTTTTTGCTGTATCAAAAATGTCTTGTATCGAGACACTGCCGTATCGTATCAAATCAAAGCAAGTTTTATGCTTTGATATCCCCATTGCAACTGTAGACCTACAAGGTGGAGCTACATTGTAGATGTTTCTAATAAAGTGGCCAGTGAGCGTACACATTATGTAGTTTTAATATATCAGATTTTGGTCATAAACTCTTTGTTTTTTTTCATTTTGTGTCTTTTTTCTTTCTTGTTTGCTTCTCCCAGATCCCACGTTTGTCCATGCGCAGCTCATACCAGACAGCGCTGAGAAAAACGATGACAAGCTGTACTTTTTCTTCCGTGAGAAGGCTTCTGAGATGGGCCAGACTCCGATGGCTCAGTCCAGGATTGGAAGGATCTGTCTGGTGAGAGACACATGCATGCTTTGTACCTGTGGCCACTATTATAGCTGTGAATAGACAAAATAACCCCACAAATCACAATATTCGCATCCCAATTCAGCTAAAACGCTACTTTGCAGCATTACAATGTTACCCATCGTTGTCCCCTGCCGCCGTTTTTAATAGCCGTTCTTCCTCTCCAGTAAATGTATTCTTTTCAGCGTGAATAAGAGCGGATGAATGTTTGTAACGTGTGGGTAGTTGTTGGCTGCTGGTCACTGGGCATTGCCATGTCTCATTATTGGAGTTGGCTGCCATCCACAGCAGATGGGTCTGAGCAGTGCTCGGAGGCAATGTTTACAACCATACCCCCCACCCCCCACCCAGCCAGTGCAGCCCACACAAATAGTACACGGAACGGGAGAGAGTCCTATATAAAGCCTTTTGTCTTGTTTTTTTACATGCTAATTATTAAATAAAGTTTAAATAGAAGCAAATCACTAGACAAACTTTATTAATCCTGAAGGAAACTGCAGAGTTGCAGTAGCACCAACTGACCTGTACAAATCATATACATGTATCAGTGCTAGAATTACAAGACCCGAGAGACATAAACAGCGCAGTGGGTTTACAGATGTGTGCTTGACTAACAGTGAATATTTACACACGTATAACTTGGTGTAGTCGTTAATGAGATTTAACTAAAGGAATGTGAATATTATACACTCAACACAGGCATTTGCAACAGTTTCAAATTACATGGCTTGTCGAAAATAAGTAGAACACACTTACATATGACATTTTTCTGCAAGTTTTAGTGCCCAATTTCTGTTTATTTGCTGAGTTTAACATACTGGAAAAAATAAAACAAAATGTAAAGTGTGCCATAACTTTTGCACAGGCCATATTTTATGTTTTAATCTTTACGTAATATACAAAATTCAGCGAATAAGCAGTAGTTGTGTATTAAAATGTGCAGAAGTGTGTTCTCTGTGGAAGATTAACTTATTTTCACTTAGAGACTCAACAGAACATGTCATTTGACCAGGGGTGCCTAAACATTTGCAGAAAATGGGCAGAATAGCACAGTATGTGAGAAGAGAAATACTAAGATAATTGAGATAAGTGCCCCTGCTGCACAGTTCAGAACCATCACTTAGTTTTTAACATGTTGCCACATTTAAGATACAAAAACGTACAAGGTTCTGTTGAAATTGTTGACATGCGAAGTACTCAAGAATGTCTGTTTGCAGTTAATATTAAACAAAGATTTGTTGTATTTTTAGCCTGTGAGAGTTCATCCAAAGTATTTGTGACATCATAACCTATCTGTCATATTGTTGCTGCCCAAAAATAAATAAATAAATAATTAAATAAAAATTAAGTATCTCTAAAATGTTAACTTTACAGGAGAGGGTAAAAACGTTCTTCATTTTTAATGTAAGTGAATGTAAAGTGATATTATTCCAAGCAATTTTGGAGCATTTCTATCAGTCCATTCCTCATGATTTTTGGCAGCTGCTGTGCTCAAATGATGTAGAAAAATGAAAAAGCAGAAGATTTTTTTTGGACAGTCATATGTTCAAATATATGTTCAATATGTTTTGCTAATTTTGCTAAGTGCCTTCCAGGGTTATTAGAACTCAGGATGTCTTAGCTTAAGCTTTGATTAGTGTTCTGTCTGAACACTAATCATGATACTCAGGAAGCTTCAGAATGAAAGTTCCTTGTATTTGTACAATGATAATAAAATTCTGTTCTTTTCTCTGCAGAATGATGACGGAGGTCACTGCTGTTTGGTTAACAAATGGAGCACCTTCCTGAAGGCTCGACTCATCTGTTCTGTAACAGGGGCTGATGGCATTGAGACACACTTCGACGAGCTCCGTGAGTCTCTTTCCTGCATCATTTCAGTTGTTGATGACATCATTATTGAAGGCTACTATAGAGGACTCTTGTTTTATTAGGGCTTTTATAATTATTTAAGATCAAGGTTTCTGCCTTGCTCGTATCAGACACTTCATCCCAAAAGGTAGTTGAAATGTATTGTTTGAGCTTCTTTAAGGTGCACATATCAAGCATTTCATTGCACACACAGCTTGTTTAAATAATCTCTATAGAAATGCTTTGACCAGTAGAATGAGAGCAGCCACACATGAGCCTAAGGCAGGAGTCGGCAACATGTGGCTCCAGAACTGCATGCAGCTCTTTTACTGCCTTCTTGCGCCTCCACAGCAGAATTAGATTTGTAGGTAAAAATAAAATAATCCTCCTTTGCAGTAAAATAAAGCTCTGCTGATCTTTCAAACACAGTTTTAGCAATAAACGGTCTTAAACACTGGAGTTAATGTAGGGTATATCTGCTTATTCACCCTTTAACCCTGAAGGTTGGTGCACAGACTGCTGGTCACATAGCAACAGATAACAGTCTCGCCTAGCTAGTATCCAATGAAAAAGCAAAGAGAGAGATTTTGAATGGACTGATTTACATTTCTAATCACTTCAGCTGGTTTCCTGATACATTTAATCTGCACCGAGAAACTGTCAAACACTAAAAAGTCACGAAGTTAAAGATAGTTTCTTGTTCGAATGGTCCTGTTCCACCTTAAATGATGCAGCAGTTAAATTCTGGCGCCTCAGGCACCATTTAAGGTGGAATGGGAAAAGCGACTACAGCTGAGCTAAAGCTTAAAGCAGAGCAAAGTCAGTCTGCGTTTTCATTTATATTATATATTTTTAGTCTATACTAGTACATCAGCACGGACTGAGACATTGTTACAGCCAAGATGGTAAAATGGACATAAAATGTTGTGGCTCTTCTTAATATTTGGGTTGGCCTAAGGTCACGGACCCCTGGCCTAAGGTCACCAAGCCCAATGCCAAGTGTCAATGAAGTTGCACCTGTGTTCATTTGCGTGGAAGTTCCCCACCATCACAAAGTGGGTAATTAGTGTCTCTCTTAGTAAATCTGCCCCTATAGATGACCCCAAACTTTTGACACCAAATAGTGTTTCTTTCCACCATGCTATTGCTGTAAAATCACACATCTTGCTTGGCTATTTACTCATTTTCACATTGTCAGCTCGGAGATAATCGTCGTCTTTCAGGCTCAATTTCCTTCTGGTTTGTGGAGCTCCGATTCCACAGTTAAAGAGGTGTTTCATATCCCCCCCCACCATCCAAATGAGAGAGAAGGACTTCAGCAGAACACCCACAAGTGACCTCAATCTCTGGACCTGACTTCTAAAACGCAAACTCCATTAGTGGCTCTGCTGTGGACTGACTTCATATATACGTGAACTACCTGGATCAAGCTTTAGTGTGAATTTACAGCTCTCTGAGGAACCGAGGCCAGAGCCGAGAGGCTGATCCAGCTCGTCTGTGCAAAGCGCTCGAGTTCAGTTCGACCACTATGGCTCTCAAGAGGACTTGGAAAAAAGTCCTTTTTGTTCTTTTTTTTTTGGGCTGTCTGTCTACCTCAGAATAGATGTGTTCCTTAGGGTTAAGAGCTGGAGGGGTGCAAGTGAAACTTAAGGCCAGAATGAGTTTTTAATGTCAAACAGAAATCTGCTGGACGACATTCATTCAGCTAAAACGTAAACTCTGAATGGTGAAATATACTCCAGGAAATTGGACGCAGTCAGAAGAGTGAAGGCATCAGAAAACTGGACGTAAACATGCCAAAGCATGCACTTTTGAGTCTGTATGTGTTTGTGAGTGTATCAGTATGTGAATCTGTGTATGTGTTCACCCGCATCTAGCAAGGCTTGCCAAAAGATAATGGAGTTTTGCCCAGTGCGCAGCGCTTGATTGACAGGATGTAACAGGATTGGGCAATAAAACCCGCAACAACAGCGGTCTCGGCCACAAATGAATACAAATGTGTGAAGGCTGGAGTTTTATTGCTCCTGTGAGCTCTCGAATCAGCAGAGCAGCCCCTTCACACACGTCCCCATAACATCCCATGGACACTCTTAAAGATAAAGGTTCCTAAATGGTTCTTGTATGATACTGTGCAAAAGTCAATGCATTTAATTTCCAGTCAAAGCAGCCATTAAGTAGAAGTTATTTATTTTTCAGCATCAGGGAAAAGCAGAAAATATATATTTCACAGATGCTTCAGCAACTAAATATATCTTTTTTTTCAGTATTTGATGTGTCACTCTTTACTTTATTACAGCACCAATTCTTTTCAAGAGACTCACTATCAGTTTTTCAAAGAAATCTTCAGGGATATTTTTCCACACCTCCAAAGTTCAGTCTTAGAAGTTGGTTTTGCATTTTCTGCTTCTCACAATCCAAGTGATCCCAGACACCTTTTCTCAGTGAGGTTCTTCTTGACAGCTCCACATCCTTTCAGACCCATAGCGCTGAGTCGTCTTCTCACAGTGGAAGGATGGACAGAAACACCTGTGGATGTTTTCAGATCTGAAGCAGCTTGATTTTCTCCTCTCTCTCAAAGATGAAGGCTTTAAGTGCTGTTTACCTGATGGGGGCAGTTTACCGGGTCTTCCAGGTGGTTGTTAAGAGTCTCATTTTCTCTGTAGCTTTTAATCATTTTTTTAACTCCAGTTTTAGAAGCTCCTGTTTTTTTCACTTGTTTTTTTATTTTTCTCCTTCCTTATGCAAGTCAATTACCTTATATCTAATCTCCTCAGAAATATTTCCTAAAAAATAAATGAAATACCTGAAGGGTGGTCTCTGACTTTTGCACTGTAATGTGGATCCTTTATAATATGTAGAGATGTCCTTTATGCCGACACATCTACAAATATAGCTCTTATAGAATCATTCACTGAAAGGTTCATTAGATAACTGAAAATGGTTCTTCAAGCACAAGAGAACCCTTTTTGGTACCTTTATCTACAAGGTTGAACAGCAAGAGAAGAAATACTGTGGCAGCTGGCCTTCTCTCCTCGTTTCTTCTTGCGTCGTCATCCTGTGGAAGGAGTTCACTCCTGAAAAGACCGTTTGACCTCATGTTTTCTCATGTCCTCTCAAGGCCAGTGAGGATTTTATGGCTGTTTGCTTTCGCAATGAGACGCTGGCCTCCTGGAACAGGCCTGTAGTTTTTACCCTCAGGCCCTGTATTTTTAACCCCTAAAAGTGCAGAGCTGTTATTTTTTTCTATACTCTTTAAATGTAATTATATAATTAAATATGTAATAGCATAGTTATGTATTCAAACAATGATGAAAACATAACAAATATGTAAAAGATGAACTTTCTTTCTGCAAAATAAGCCAATAACGTTTCCTCAAATTCAAAGTAAAATAGCTTCTCTTCTACTTACAAACACAAATGTGGTATGTTTGAAGGAATCTGTGCTCCACTTCAGTTATGCTTTTGTTATTGCTGGCAATAACAGTGACTTCTGGCGGTTATATGTAAGCTAACCTGTGCAGTCGGGAATGTAGATGTCCAAAAGTATCCAGGTCTTCTATTGAGTAGATTTAACTACTTCAAGGTCCACCCATTGTATAATCTCCATAGAAAAGTATTACCAATAGAATAGGACTCTGGAGCAGCCACATATGAGCCTAAGGTCACCACGCCCAATGCCATGCATCAGCTTTGGGCTGTGGAGCAGTGGAACTGTATTCTCTGGAGTGATTGAGCTCCATCCACCACCTTTGGGATGAGCTGGAGTTCCACAACTGATCATCCAACATCAGTACCTGACCTCACTAATGCTCTTGTGGCTGAATGCCATCAAATCCTCACAGCAGTGTTCCAACATCTAGTGTAAAGCCTTATCAGAAGAGTAGAGGCTGTTACTGCAGTAAAGGGGGTCAAACTACCTATTAATACCCTTCATTTTTAGAAGAAATGCTGGATGAGCAGGTGTACACAAACTTTTGGACATACAGTTTTTCTCTGAAATCTTTTTTCCTGCACTGGTTTTGTCTTTGCCCTGTTTCTAATGTTTCCCTCTACTACACATGTGTTTCCAGCACTGCCTTATTTTATTTCTCCCTCTTGTCTTATAATCATTTTTTTTCATTTTGGCTCAGGACTGTGACTAGCCTTTTGAGGCTAATTTACTGCGTTGTGTACATGTGGCCATGTATTAAGTCTTTTTGGGGACCGAATGTTGCTAGCTATGTGGAAAAAAAGGAAATGTTGACATTGTGGGGACATTTCTTGTGGGAAAATGCTTTTATTTGCCAAAGTAAAAAGCCAAAATATTTACTTTAGGTTAAAGAATTAAAAATTACAGTTGGATTTAGGTACAGACCAAACATCACTCAGCTCTAACGAAAGAGAGGTCATTGGAAATACCCCACATAGACAGAATTACAAATTCGAATGTGTGTGGTGGAGAGAAAAAGAGAGAGAGAGGGATAGAGATAGAGGGAGAGAGACATTAAGTTGGCCTGTAAGAATATTACTAGAAGCCTTTTTTGGTTCCATTGCACTTTTGTTCCTTGGCTGTTTTCCTAAGTAATGTTTGGCAGTGTAGCACTCCGCTCAGCCATGTCTGATCATGAAGAACTACAATCTCAGACTTCAGTCTCTCCCTCACACTAATTTTCCATGCTTTGTAGGGGACGTGTTCATCCAGAAGACTCAAGACACCAAGAACCCTGTCATCTATGGAGTCTTCTCCGTGTCTGGGTAAGTTAGCAGCGTCCCTTTCAGTGAATATATAGAGGTTAATTGGTCTGTCCATTCTCTGCCCACAGGTATGTACTTTTTAGGTATGTACTATTAACTGATAATAAGCTGGACAAGCTTTACAGAACCCTGGCAAAAATCCCACTCAACCTAAACTGTAGCACACAATTCAGTTTATACCACAATGCCTACATTAAGAGTTATTGATTGATTTTGATTGATTGATTGATTGGTCATTGTATGTGTATGTATATTATGCTACTACAGAGTTGAATTACATGAGTGTAATGTCCAGGCAACCTGCTAGGCCACTTCAGCCAGTAGGAGGGGCTAGAGGGCCAGGACTGAGTAATTAGGGCTGAGCGGTAGCGGCTGTTGGCGCCCTACTTAAGGGGTGCTCACATGCTGCTCACAGCTCAGTCCTGAGTTCAAGTGCCATGTGCACATTGCTCTGACTTAGCCGGTAACCTCGGTATCTGCCTCGAGTTTTGAGTCTTTGCTTTTCTGAAATTGTTCTCCAGCGTAAATATAAAAAAAGGGGAAAAAAAAAGAAAGAAAAGTCTGTTGAGTGTGTCTCACTCTCCGTGTTCAGAGAGAGGCGGTAAGATTAAAGAAGGGAGTTTTTTGGATTCAGTCTTGGGGAGATCTTTGTTTGGCTGCTGACTGCTAACATATTATAAACTTCTACGTTAACCACGCTAGCTAGCTTTGAAATAGCTGAAACTGAAAAACATCCTGCTCAGCCTGTCAATCAGATTCTCCCCTAAAAATCTATATTACACTCCCAAAACAATACACCTAATCTATGCTACCAGTGTGACATTTAAAGAAAAATCCCTCAACTGTTAAATTATTAAAAATTCCTGCATAATTACACGGTTAGGATATAAACAGAGTCATGAAATGCTCCACTGTAGAGAAACTTACCAACTCACATTGTTCACATGAAATAAAACTTGTCCAACCTTGAAACAAAAGCTACCAAAGGACACACTTGTGGGTGGGGCTTGGATTGGTCAGTTCACTTTCAAAAGCACTGCTCTGTGATTAGGTTTATCAGATGGGCAGTGCAGTCTGACTGCAGCTTGAGTGGAGTTTCCTCTCCTATCCTGGCTGCGTATTCCTGCAGGACGACAGATTTAATGCAGCTGAACACTGTTCCCAATGTACTGTTACTTGGCAGACTTCACAGGCAGTGGAAGCAGTCTCGCCTGTCAGTGAGAGAATGAGAGATGTGATAGTTTTGTATGTTATACCGCAGCAATCAGACTAATAAACGGCATCTGAATTCATGGAAATCGCTCACAGCCACTGAGGCCTCGGAAAGGAGCTGTAGACGTTTTAGAGAAGGTTCACATGCCAAGCGTCCAGTGTAAATATACAGGGCCGTGCCAGCGGAGAGTGAGAGTGCCTTTGTGTTGGTTTTTGTACATTTGCAGGACAAATTCAGAGAAAAACGAGGATGGTGCAAAGTCAGGACCAATGAAATGGTTTTGTAAAGCTTATGCAATAGCTTTATAGAAGATGCACGCCTTATGTTTAGTGCATATTATTATTACATGTAAATACTTACTTATATATAATACATATGGGCCATAGCATTATTAGTTTTAGGCTTTTACATACAAAAAAACACATATGGGTCATATTGTTATTACATACGGTCATAGGCAAAAGTGTGGGCAACCCTAAAATTAGTTTTTGTTGGTTTTCTAAGTAACAAAAAAGAAGTTAACATATCCTCACAGAGATTTATGCACAATTACTATTTATTTGGTGAAATTAGCACATAGAAAAAATAATAAAACATAAAATGCAGCCTGTGCAAAAGTTATGGCACATTTTATATTTTATTTTTTGTTCAATATAAATAAAAATTGAGCACTAAAATTCACAGGAAAGAGACAAAGTAAACATGTAAAATGAAGAAAAATTCTTCCTTGTGTGTGTGTGTGTATATGTGTGTGTGTGTGTGTATATATATATGTCCTGAGAATGTATAAAAACAAACCTATGTGTGTGTATGTGTGACTACTGGACTAGTTTCAGGCTTTTCTGTAGGTTTTAGATTAAAATCAGCCGAGCCTTCAGGCTCCATCTAAGCTTTTTAAACCCAAAGGCACACAGCTCCATGCTAATGAGAAAGGAGCTTTCTTTCTGCTGGAGGGCAAGAGTGCTTTCACAGCTTGCTTTGTCTCTCTGTCTCTCTCTCTCTCTGTCTCTCTCTTTCTCTCTCTCTCTCTTGCTCTCTATCTCTCCCTCGCTCTGTTCATCCTTTATGTTCTGTGTGGTAATGTGTACCTTTGTGCATTTGCGTGGGCGAGAGGGGAAGACCATAAAAGAATGTGTATGTGTGAGTGTGTGTGGAGTGTATATGTGCCTAATAGTTCAGTGCATCAGTGCATCTATGATGAATCATCAACCATCTCTCTCTCTCCTCTCTCTCTCTCTCTCTCTCTCTCTCTCTCTCTCTCTCTCTCTCTCACTCTCTCTCCCTCTCTAGGTCAGTGTTCAAAGGTTCAGCCATATGCGTGTATTCCATGGCTGATGTGCGAATGGTATTCAATGGCCCCTTCGCTCACAAAGAAGGCCCGAATTACCAGTGGATTCCTTACCAGGGCAAAATCCCATACCCTCGGCCTGGGACAGTGAGTGTCAGATAGCACTCATGCACAAATATCAAAAATATATCAACAGGTAGAAATTTTTAACATTTCAAAAACAGTCAGCAAGTCAATCTGCCAACATTCAGTGCAACACTTCATTTGACATCTAGCATAACCAAAAGGCTTTTTTTACAAATTATTCTATTGGTCTGCAGTGATGTACTCTTAAGCCAGCAGTGTGCTTCAAGTGACAAAAGAGCTAAATAAAATCAAACAACCAGTGAACACACTGTCATTAATTTTCCTGAAAAAGATCTCAGCAGACGCCTTTCTGACGCTCAGCACTGCTAGAGTCTCCATACAGTGACACAGATGTAGATCTTAAAATAATGGCTTCTACACCCAGTTAGTGCATAATATGTCTAACAAATATTCATGTGGGGTTCAGTCATGTGTGCACAATTCTCTACTGGACATATAGTGCACTGTTTGGGTGAGGAAAGAAACATTTCATAACTCACTGCAGTGCACTGCAAATGGAGCAGGGATCCATTTGAGATTCGTCCTTTGTGAAGTACTTTATGTGTGTTAATAAACATAAAATTGTCTGTTATCCCTTGGAAATATGTTTTGCATATATATGTCTTTTTTATATATGGGTCCAAAAGACACTGGTGGAAATGCATATATATATATATATAATATATATATATATATATATATATATATATATACAGACACACAACAGCCTTGTTGTCTCTTTTCTCTCAAAATACCTCATAGGTGTTTTTGTTGTTCCTTGTGTCACTATGGTATCTTGTCTTTTTTTACATTTTGTATTTGGTTTATTTTTATTTTCATACAATTCAAACGGTCAACAATGTTGGTTTCTATTGGTTATAGGACAGTACTGATTAGGTTATTTGATTTTAGTCCATTAAAAATAGCAAACGAACGTGATAAACATATCAGTACAGATGTAAACACATGGTCAGGTCATATGATCACAAATGAAAAAGTGCACACTGTAACCTTTGTCCTCTGTTCTCAGTGTCCAGGAGGGACTTTCACCCCCAACATGAAGTCCACTAAAGATTACCCAGATGAGGTCATTAACTTCATGCGGAATCACCCCACCATGTACAACGCTGTGTACCCGGTGCATAAGCGCCCCCTGGTGGTGCGCACCAATGTCGACTACGAGTTCACCACCATCACTGTGGACCAGGTGGCCGCTGCGGACGGCAACTATGAGGTGCTTTTCTTAGGAACAGGTGAGAACATCAGCTATGTGAGCTCAAGAGACAGTTATATACACTGCCTGTCAAAACTTTGAGTACAACTTGCCTTCTTTGGAAATTTGATTTTCAGTGCTATTTTTTAGTTTAGATAGTTTTCAAAATTTCACATAATTCAGTGGTTTAATGTAATAATTCACAAGGTTTATTGTAGAGAAACTTGCTGACTCAGATTTCTTTACAGTGGTGGTGATAGGAACCAGGGGTCACCATGTCTACAACACAATTATAGCCATTTCATTTACTATCCCAAACCACCAGTGACTCTACACAGGTCTTCTGAGTTTCTGTGTGCAATGCTGATGATGGCAAAATAGTAAAATACATTTTCGTCCAAAACTTTCTCAAAAAGTTTTTAAAACTTAACTATGTCTCAGGCCTCAGGCTGAGTATTCATAACCATTTCATGTAATAACCTTCTGTGAGGGAGCTTTTAGAGGTGGACGTCTGGTTCCATACTAAACCACTCTGAAATGAGTAAAATGAGTAAAATATCTGTCTACCAGTTCAGTGGATCTTTAAAGCCCCTGTCTACTCATTTTCATGATTTTCTTATCTATCTATCTATCTATAGATTTCATCAAGGCGTACAGTCTTTCCCTGTTGTGCTTGTGTGATGCACAATTAGGGCACACAACAAATTTCACACATGACCATGCCCACTCATAACGGCAGCATGGTCCAGCAGTTAGCTAGCTAGCTGTAGATTACAGATATAACATTATATGTATTATGTACACATCTAACATTATATATATATATATACACACATACATATATATATATATATATATATATATATATATACACATACATATATATATATATATATATTTACACTAGTAAATAACAGTAGTTAACACTTTAATTTTAATACACATTTTTTAACATTTCAAACCGTGTTGACAGGGGCTTTAACGGTCATGCTGTGTGTTGCCTGTTCCTCTGGTTAACCCCTCAACACTGCAGGCTTAATACATACTAAGGCTTATTATTCAGTAACTACAGGGACTTCAGTGCAAACTGGCTGAGCTATTCTTTGGTTATAGAAGTGTGTAATAAGATTTTGGACCCGCCAGCCGGTCCATGGCCTGTTAAGCAGTTAAGGGAAAGCAAGAAGCAACTTACTTTCTGCGAGTCATTTTCTTTTCTTTTATTGATACTGACTCTGGCTCTGCTCATTCAGACAGAGGTACAGTACAGAAGGTCATTGTTCTACCTCGAGATGACCTACAGACTGAAGAGCTGGTTCTGGAGGAGGTGGAGGTATTTAGAGTGAGTAATTCCATCAATCCTCTCTCTCTCTCTCTTTCACTCTCTCTCTTTGTGTATATTTATATACATTTTATCCATGTACTAAAAGTACTAGCTTTACAGAGATGATTATGATGATGATGATGATGACGATAATTTAATTATACCTATTATTATTTCATCTTGCAGGTTCCAACTCCAATAACCACAATGAAGATTTCTCCTAAAAGAGTAAGAAGTATTAACTCTCTCCTTTACATTTCATGACATTGCTAAGTAATTTTCAGACAGCTGGCATTAATAATATTTTCCAGCTTTTGCTGTTCAAAACTCTACATGAAATGTGGTTAAGTGAAAAATCTGATTTCCCCTTTACCCCAAATGTAGTCAAACTCTAGCAGCTGCGATTTTGAAGCCTGAACTTTGTCTGCACCTTTGCCAATTTTTATACATAGTAGTATTTCATATAGTGTGAGAAATCACATAAGCAAGCCTACAAGAGAAACTCGACATGGTTAGAGGCCAGTGATGATTTTGGCATGCAATTACACTCTCAGAAAAAAAGGTACTAAACTGTCTCTGGGTCAGTATCCATCTTGTCACTGGGGTGGGACCCTCAAGGGTACATCTCAGTACCTTTAATCAGCCTAACTGCGCCATAACCCACTGAAATGATATTCTCTAAGCTGTATTGACTCCACACACCCCGTCTCGTCTCCAGGCTTTTTATTTTATTGTTGTCTTTTAAAACATTCGGTTATGAAAAGGTACAAATATGTACTTTTCACCTGGAAAAAACTATTTAAGGTTCACAATTGGACCTTAAAACCACTGTTGTACCTTTGAGGGAACATTTACATTGTTTGTACCTTGATGAACGAAAAATGTGCCTGTACAGAACCTTTATTTCTAGCAGAGTTGATAGACAGATAGATGCCATGCACTATTATACAGATGCAACACCATGCTAGTTGAAGCAGTATAATCCTACATTACTTGGCAGCTGCATTGGCCTTGTAGCTCTAAAGAATCAATAGAATTGCCTATTTTGGGGTAAGGGGGAATAATATGTAAATCAGAATGTTCACCAAACTATTCCTTCAAGCCAAAGTGTTCTCTAAAGAACGTAGTGTAACAGGTGTCCACTGTTTTGACCTCTACAGCAACAGCTGTATGTGAGTTCGGCAGTGGGGGTGACTCACCTGGCGCTCCACAGGTGCGATGTGTATGGTGAGGCGTGTGCAGACTGCTGCCTTGCCCGGGACCCCTACTGCGCCTGGGACGGCAAATCCTGCTCCCGCTACTCCGCCAACCAGAAGAGGTGAGGACTATATGTGTGCACTTTTGCCCCCACAGGAGGCCCACTTATTAATAACGGTTCCCTTTTCATCCAGCGGCAATCTTTCACCAAAACATCTCTCTGCTATCATCCTCAGTTAATTTATCTAGCTTCAAATACAAACTCCAGCTGTCCAAACTCCATTTTATCCAAGATGTATTTAAACACCGGGGCGACTCCAACATCCAATATTTATCTCAACAATCTGTCAGTATTGAGCATTTTTTGGTGAATCTGCCTTTTAAAACATACGTTTGCTTTATAAAAATATACCAAGTATGCATTCTCTTCCACAGCTGTTATCACTTTTAGGACTTAGATTTACTCCAAAATATTAACTAAGAATGTTAGCATTGCTATGGTAGCATTTTTCTTAAAACTCAGCAGTCTCAGGACTTTCTGACTGTCGAAGAATGTAAGTGAGCGTATGTGTACATGGCACTGATGATCTGCTCCGCCAGGCGCAGTCGAAGGCAAGATGTGAAGTATGGCAACCCTATTAGACAATGCAGAGGATACAACTCCAATGGTGAGAAATGAGTCCAACGCAGCACAACGTAACACTGATATAAGATGTTTAATGGGTGGAACATCAAGCTTTGACTGTTTTGCTTTTTTATTTCCATGCCAGCCAATAAGAACACTCTGGAGTCAGTGCAGTATGGAGTTGAGGGAAGCACTGCTTTCCTGGAGTGCCAGGCCAGATCTCCTCACGTATCAATCAAATGGCACTTCCAGAAAGAGAACAGTGACAGGAGGAGAGAGGTTTGTAGCTACATTACTTCATCTATAATATATGGATCTTTATTAGAAATACACTCCTTGTACTTCCACTCACTGAGCTCTACCTTAGAGGGCCACTATATGGATTATTCTACCAAACTGGTTCAAAGTCAGAGGTGAAAACACATTTCAGACTAAAATCTTTTTGCTCTGAGTGAGCTCATACCTTCATTCTGCTTATTGTATGAAAACAAATGATTGAAAGCTCTATTTTGTCACTACCAATGCAATAATAACATAGTCGAAACTTTACCAAATGTTTTGGTAGTGACAATCTTAGATCATTTAAAGCATAACTTAAAAACGACAGCCAGTACATGACTAGCAAACACAGCTTTGAGCAGCTGTAGACGCATAAACTCATAATATTTTTTATTAAAACACAAAAAGTTTACTTAACAGCAGAAAATATATTTTGGGAGTGACAGTTCTTAACGTTTCACACTGATTTTCAGACTTTGCGGCACATTTACTTCAAAACTATGGGATCTAACTGCTCACAATGTGGCAACGAGGGACAGGGATGCAGCCTCACTTCCTGCTCTAAAATGCAGGGGTGTGGCTAAAATAAGACTCCACCTACAGACTAAAACACTTTGTGTTTCAATAGTGACATGAAAACGTGGGACGGCATTTTTTGAATGAGGTTTTTCAACAAAAATTCAACTAATGACAAATTCTAAATCTTTCAGCTTCACTTTAAGGCAAATTAAAAAGATCTGAAAACAACATTGACAAAAATACATTAAAAATGTTCGTATTTAAGTTAGTATTTGGCACAGACATCTCCCAACAGAAAGTACCCTATAAAATGATTATATGATTATATATAAATGATTTTGTATATATTTAGCTTTTTACTATTGCTGTGCCTTAGAATAGGTCATAGCATAATCATGGTAAATATCTAAGGTCTGACTACTTAACTTTTACTGTGGAACCACAGTAATTCAGTAGAATGGTCCGTATATGTACAGTTACAGTTACAGACTGTAGCTTGTCTGTTGTTGCACAAATGAGCTTTTCTTGTTATACAAATCAAAGAGTTTGATCAAACAGTTCAAACAAAGTTATAAGTGGACTTGAGAGGAAAAAGTGGAATACGAACTGAAGTGATTTTCCAATACAGACTAGGAAAACTCCCTTCAGATGATTTATCTTGAAGGTGGGAGGAACTTTTGAAAAACTACAAATGCTTTGGGGTGGGTACATGAGAGCGGGCTGTTAGACTTTTTTAGCCTGCCAATGCAGAGGGAAACCAGTTGACGTTGACGTTACTGCTGGGAAGCCGAATATCATGTCCGTAATTATTGGCCTCTGTATCAGTATGTTTTCTTTTGCTGTACAGTGCATCCCCAGTGGGTGTGTTATGTATTTGCACAATTGCATGTTGTAGTGAAAGAACACTGAAAAAGCAAAAAAGGATATAAAGTTCTGAATTCTTTCAAACCAATGAGGACTGAATGTAATGCTGCATCACATAATACTACATGACATGACAAATAACATCGCCGCTGTCCAAAAACATGTATCTCCATTTTTGGTGATTTTTATTTTTCTACATCATTTCAACACACCAGCAGTGCTTTACATTATGTAAAAATCTCATGATGAGTGGACCAATAGAAATGCTCTAAAATCACTTGTAATAAATTTTCTTTACATTAGTTTACATTGAAAGGTAAGAAAGCTTTTGCCTTCTCCTGTAAAGTTACTATTTCGGAGATACTTGTTTTTCTTTGGATAGTGACGATATTTAACCGCTGCTGGTGGACCCGAAGTTTTATTACACAATTCTATAACCTAAGAATAGCTCAAATAGTTTGCACTGAAGTCCTGAATAATAAGCCTTAGTATGAAATAAGCCTTTTTAGGGATTATTGCTCGTTTTAACACATAATACGTTTGATACTGCTGCAGCAGTTACTGCTATACAAAACACGTTTCCCTATGATCGCTTTTCTTTCATGTGTCTTCTTCCTCTCTCATTCAGATCCGCTCGGACGGTCGCATCGTTCGCACGGAGCAGGGCCTCCTCCTGCGCTCCCTCCAGCTCTCAGATGCCGGCAGCTACCAATGCACGTCCACCGAGAAGAACTTCAAGCACACGCTGGTCAAGCTGCAGCTAGTGGTGCTGTCGGCCCGCACCGTCAACAGCATCCAGGCGGAAATACCTGGCCCCGCCCCTCCGGGTCTCCTGCAGGCCAGCGCGTGGACGCCCAGCGCTGAGCAGTACAAAGACCTGCTGACCATCCTGAGCCAGCCCGAGATGGGACTCATCAACCAGTACTGCCAGGACTACTGGCAGCAGGGTGACGACCCAGCCGCCGCCATCCACAGGAAGAAAGACTCCAAGGAGCTGAAGGAGCTGCGCAAGCCGCGCAACAGGAGACACCACGAGGGCCAGAGGAGCATGGCTGAGACATGAGGAGGACGCCTGCTCTGCAAACACACACACACACATACATACACCCACACACACACACGTACACATACAAATGCACACAAAGCACACACTTCCTTTCACCACAAGATCTGAGACGCTATGGTCAAACAAGTCCAACTGAAACGTGGCCAAGGGACTAAAACGGACACACTAGAGCAGCATGTGGTGAGAATAGGCAGTATTTATTGTAGGTTGTATATAGTTAGACTCTGTGGATATCTTTGTACTGAGAGCACAAAAAGAGAAAAAAAAGCCGTTTTTTGTGTATAGATCCTTCTGTGCAAATATTTTGTTATTGTTATTCTTCTTATAGTATATTTATTATAGTGTTATTGTCATAACGAACTGTGTGATTGTATTATGAGGGATGGCAGAAGGCTCAGTTTCATGCTGCATACACTAAGCATGCAAAACATGGTGGGCATCTACCTGTAGGTGCTCCTAAAAGGCCACCACACAGTGTCTGAGTTGTAACACCACTAATTTGAGAATGGTTGTACTGTGAAATTAGCTGAGTCAGTGTAGCATGTCTTGAACTCTGTTTAGGTCAGTGTCTATTGATCCTTTTTTTGATCACAAATCAAATAGCCAGATGTTTTTAGTATAGAGACCACCTTCGATTTATTTAATTTCCAGTCAACACTGCCATTATGTACACGTTATTCATTACTCAGGATGTGTAGCTGTCAAGAAGAACCTCACTGAGAAAAGGAGACGGACACATCAAACAAAGAAGCTGCTGGTGTTCTCAGAGCAGTGGACTGACCACCCCAGAATCAATGCCCCAAAACTTGTGCTTGGGATTAGTTGCATAATGAAGCTGTAATAAATGTAAAGGCAGACACACCAAATACTGAAAAACATGATGTTTCTGCTTTTTTCATGATGCTGAAAAATGAATAACTTGAACATAATGACCATTTTGACTAGAAAATTAAATAAATGAAGGCTGGTCTGTTGGTGCTGTTGGCACAAAACATTGTATCTCCAAAATGATGACTTTTCAAGAGAAGGAACAAATGTTCATGACATTTAAAGTGAGTTAAAGTAACAATATTGTTAATTCCACATAATTTCAGACTGTTCTATTGGTTCATTCATAAAGACATTTTCACATGATGTAATGATCAGCTTCTGTTTTCAAATTCAAATAGAAAAAATGGAGTACAGAGTTGACAGTGATGATGTATTTGTCATAAAGCCTACACTCTGGCTATTCCTGTCTTAATGTCTGAATATATATATATATATATATATATATATGTCAAAAATTGAAAAATGACAAAAATGGATATATATATATATTATATATATATATATATATATATATATATATAATTTATTTATTTATTTTTTGTCATTTTTCAATTTTTGCCATAATTTGAAAATATTGTCGCCCTTTAAATTGTATGTAAATTCCATGATGAATGGACCAAATTAAACAGCCCAAAATTACTTGAAAAAACATCTGGTTCCATTGACTTACATTAAAAGTAAAGTAGTTTTTTTCCTTCTCCTGCAGAGTTACCATTTTGGAGATACATGATTTTGTTCCAACAGCAGCGATAAGTAATAATAATAAAAATCACCAAGTTATTGGTAAAGACATTGCCAATGGAAGAAATGAAATGGCACCGAATATAAACCCTCTAGAGTCAGCCAACTTCATACAACCATAATCTCAAAATGCAGATATTACAACTCGGTCGGGTGGCCTATCAGGTAGCCATCCCTGCTGTTTTGTACACTCCGTGTATCACCACTAAACAGACTGGCAGTGATGTAAGCATCTGGCGATTTTTTAAGGCTGCATCCTTGATGGACACTTCAGCTGCTGGTGGTGCTTTGAGTGAGGAGCTCCACTCTTTGAGGACTGATGCTCATTTGGACAATGCCATGTACAGTTCAATGAATCTATCCAAAAATCTGGAGCAGTTCAGCATTCAGTATACTCGTTTGTAATGGTCTTGATCTTCCATACGTCAATGATTTGTGTACAATTCAAGTCTTCTGTCAGCCATTTAGGTTCAGTTGAATCCAATGGCAACTCCCGTAGAGTAAATGTATCCACTTCCTGACATTTGCACAGTAAAATCTCCAGCGTTGAATGAGCTACGATAGTGTTGAATGAATTAAGACTGAATTATACGTCTGCATATCTGCAATCATGCATGAGCAATGTTCGCACATAACGTGAATGTGTGCACTAGGGGGCAGTGTTTAACCCAGAATGTACAGAAAACAAAGATTCACATTTGTTCTCTGTCTCTATAATGATTACTGTTTTGAAGATAAGAATGTTTGGAAAGCTGCTGATCCTCAAACTGCACCGTTTGGTTTTGCTCTAGTTCTTAAGTCGTTCCTATTAGGAACCCTGAGTCTAAGCTGGTTTTCTCTATGACAGAAATGAAACACGTTTTGGAAAATCGCTGCTGTTATGAGGTCATTAAGGAGCCAAAGTACAACTGTTGCTGCATGCAAGCTAACACTGTCGCACGCTGAATTGACATCATGAGACTGGCAACTTCACCAAAATACCAAAATTCCTCTATCAAACCAGCAAGCTTTGCTAAATGTGGTAGTTGAGTTGCTTTGGCAGCTGCAGTTTGAGCAGCTGGTGTTGGTGTATAACAGTGTTGAAGTTTAATAGTAGACCTACTTTCGTGCCATTTCAGTGTGCAGGAGCGTTAGCTTGCTTGTAGCATGTATGTAGCAATATTCATATTTTGACTGCTAAATGACCTCATAGTTCAGAGGATCCAGTGACACGCGAGGAAAATGTACACAAAATAAACTTATTGGCTTTGTGGCATTTTAGGTTAATCACGACAGCAGCAATTATAAAAAAAATGCCATTTATGTCTGTCATAGAGAAAAATAACTTAGACCCAGACGTCCTAATATGGACAATAATATGGAATGATGCAGCACTTCTAAGGTCAATTAATTTGGGTTTTGCTTGTGCCTAGTGCTACCAAATAGTCCATCTGCACTTGCGTGAGATTTCAGTGGCTGTGTCTCGATGCAGATATGTGTACATGCATCTTCACGGACGTATATATCAGCCTTAATGAGCTCTGACAGTGCTGGATGAACCTTCAATCCAATTGGACTTAAATGCACACTCAACTCAGATTTTCATTCAACACTGTAGATATAAATGAGGATTTTGCTGTGCAGTTTACCAAGTTATCTGTAAATAGTATATACAATTATTGCACGCACAAGCCTACACAACTCATCGGATTCACAACTGAGACCGGCACTGGCCTATATCTCTTTTTTATCCCCCCAAAAATAAGTGTAGTCAAAACTAGCATACTAAAAGAGGATGCCATATTGTCACACCTTTACAACAACTGTAAGGAAGCACTTTCAACCACCTATTTAAACTCTCATCCAGCTAAAACTAAGCAGAGCTTTTAAGCAAAGGACAGTTTTGACTTTTCTTTTTTTGCATGAAATGTATTTGTACTGTACAGGTATATTAGTCCAAACCCCCCCGATATGTTGCTGTGTAGATGTTTCTGGATGGTCTTTTATGTGAGAATGACTTTATGTGAAAATACCACTACAAAAGAGACATGGATACTGATTTTAAAGGACAAAGGACTTTTTCAAGCACAAGACAAGATGTTACGAAGCTCAACGAACTTCCGTGTCTCTCTCGCCTCTCTTGTGTTATTGTTTGAAACATGTGGTAAAGCAGGCTGCTTCAAATGACTGTTGTACAATTTTTTGGGTTCTTTATTTGTAATACATCATACATCACTGTGGTTTGTCTTTCATTTGGTCTTTTTTAAAATATTTTCTTGTGGGAAAAGAACAAAAAAAAACAATTGGAATTAGATGTATTTCAGAGTTAATGTTATGGTACTGACTTTTCTGAGTTTTTTTTTTTTCTTTCTATCATTGTTGTTGTTGACTAATTAAAAATCTATATTTTATAACATACAATCTTTTATGGAACCCACATTTCTATTCATATTGCATTGTTGCACATGCCATGAGTTGGGCCATGAGTTGGATACATATATATATATATATATATTTAATTCATTCATTTTCTTAAGCCACTTGATCCAGCTAGGGTCACGGTTGCAATACGGAAAGCTGAGAAGCCCATGCCTGGTAAACCTCCAACGGGAGGTGTTTAACAAAAATTTATTCTACAAAAATGTCACATGTACTGTTTGTTGATGCAAGGGCTCAACTGTTCTTAATATAAAGAAAAGAAAAGAAAGAAATTAAGAAAAATCTTAAATGTTTTAAAGTATAAGAATTTATCTAAGCTTTTGCCTGGTAAACCTCCAACGAGAGGCGACCAGGGGGTATCCTGATCAGATGTCTGAACCTTCTGAACTGGCTCCTATCAATGAAGAGGAGTAGAGCCTCTACTTTGAGCTCCTCCCAGATGACCAAGCTCCTCACCCTATTGAATAGAGTGTAGGCTGCCACCCTGTGAAGGAAGCTCATTTCCACCACTTTTGTCTGTGATCTCATTCTTTTGGTCATTACCCAAAGCTCATGACTGTAGGTGAGGGTGGGGATGTAGATTAATTTGTTTATTACAGTAGTCACAGTTTGCTGCACATGACCTTATGGGTATTCATTATTGTCAAAATTAACAGGTCAAAAATTAGGTCAAAAAACTACCTAAGATCTGAGTAACTTACAGAAATGCAGTGGAATTGTACTGTAAATCCAGCATCTATCAGCACATGAAACAAAGACTGTTCAACAACAAATATAAAATGCTAAAGCTCCAAAGTCAGAGGTGTGACCAATCACAAAGCAGTATAAATGCTGTCACCAATGAAACAGAACACAAAAACAGAATTAGTAACTAAGTACAAATAGCAAAAATATAACTGAGTAAAAAGTAGACTCCTTTACTCTCTACTTAAAGGGGAATTCCACTGATTTCAGAGTGGTTTGGTGTGAAATGCTCCCTTCTAGAGAAATTGGTGACAGACAAGGTGACAGTGAGGAGCCATTTTGTTTACTATCACCACCAAAACCACCAGTGGCCCTACACTCTGTGGTCATATGTAATGTAATGGTTTTCTCTGGGGACTATGTTGCCTTTGCATGTTCCTCTCCAGCTTGAATGGCTTTTAAGGCTGAATATCCTACACAAAACCATCGTACAAGAACGTCTCAGACTTAAGGCAATGTATTTGTGATATTTCACGTAATAACTCTGTGAAGGAGCTTTTAGAGGCATTAAACTCTTCAGATGTCTGATTTCCACTGTCAACGATTCTGAAAGTTTCTCTAGAACAGAGCATTTCACATCAAACCACTCTGAATTACTTTGTTTATATCTTAACTGTTTACTTATACAAAAATTTAAATGTATAAATCAACTGTATAAATGTATTAAAATATACTTAAATGTATACATTTAAATGTTTAAGTTGGGGGTTATGTTGAAAAGACAACATTTATTTAAGAAAAAAACTGTTTTGTGGGTTTTCTGCTGTCTCAAATGCGGATTATGAAATGTCTCAAATGTCTAATTTTGAACCTGCTTTACTAAGGAAAAACAAAGGATCTTAAACACTTAGAAGTTCATAAGAATGTTCTTAAATGCAATTCTTGTAAAAGATTTTAAAAAGTTCACAAATATTATCGTAAGAAGTTCTTAATTACTTTTTTAAGAAAATAGTAAGTGGTAATCGTAACTGTAAAAATCCTCCTTGGTTTATTTTAACAGTTATATTTTGTGAAACTCATGTGAGCTTACAGTTTAAGAAATTTACTTTGTCTATTTTCACAATCCAAGACAAGCCTGAGACTGTGATAAGATAAAAAGGCATTTTTCATCAAGAATAACTCCTGTTCTTACAGCTGAGCCCCTCCATATTAACTATTCCACCCTTTATTATTGCATTATCAGTTATTTTGTTTTCTATTTTATCTAGAATATACGGAGCCCTGCTGGTGATGTCCCACATAAATAGAAATAATGCGTGGCCACACTTTATTAACGCGTGGGAACAAGATGCTAATGCATGGCCACAACTTAGTAAGGAGTGGGAATAAGAACATGCCTTACTAAGTCGTGGCCATGCATTAGGATCAGGTTTCCACGCCTTGCTTAGTCATGGCCACGACGTAATTATCTAATTCCCATGCCTTAGTAAGTCGTAGCCACCTTTATTTTAAACACAGGACATCAAACAATGCCATAACAGGCTTTTAGGGATTTTTACAAAAAAAAAATGACACATATACTGTTCGTCATTTCAAGGACTCAATTGTTCTTAATAGAAAAGTTAAGAAAGAAATTAAAAAAATTCTTAAGAAGTGTTTTGAAGTATAACAATTTATCTTTTATTTTCTTAATGATATATTTAATAAAGTAATCGCATTTAAGAAGACTTTCTTTCCTAAAACAAACTTTTGTCCCCTGATTCGAATGACTTTTATCTGAGTTGCTTGAGGCCTCAGTGAAGCTTTCTTAGTTTGCAGCGACATCTTGTGGTTGAGGCTGAGAAATGCACGCTTGAACTGGACACGCCCCCAAATAACCTAGTCGATTTTAGAGTTGTTTCACCGACCTGAACCCCCTGTAAAGCTGACAGGTTGTAGTCCGGTGCACTGGTCAGTTCCGTGCGTTGCTGCTCTGATTCACCTCAGAAAGACTTCATCCTCAACTGCCGGACTGAACTGCAGTGACGTATAACCGTGCAGTGCGTCCCTCTTCATGAGAGCGAAACGAAAGCGAAACTGGACCCTCCTCCACTCAGAGTTCAATCAGCTGGACGGCAGAACAAACAGCGCTCAGAAGAGCCCGGAATAAGCGCTAAATCAGGACCGGGCCGTCAGAACTCATTCATCACCATCCAGCGGTCAGTCTAACAGCGTTAGAGCCATGACACCAACTGACATCGACGAGGGTTTATATTCAAGACAGCTGTGAGTATTTGAAAGAAATTCTTTGGTGTTTAACACTCTAGGAAATAGAGCCCTCCATAAACAAAGGCCGGCAGTAATTAGTTCCGGTTACTCAGTTCCACACACAGATTACAAATACAGAATTTAGATATCTCTCAGTATTTTCTGTAATAAAATACCCAGAGATGTCCAAATTACGTAATTCAGTATAGCATTAGAAGAGGCTAACAACAGTGGGACTCTTTCTGGTGTTACATAGAACCATTTTAAAAGGGTTCTCTAAAGAACCATGTAGTCTACACCTGGTTTACTATCATAGAGAAGAACCATTTGACTATGCAAAGAACATTTATGCATTCACATGGTTCTTTAAGTGTTCTTGGTTCTGTATGGGTCATTCTGTCGGAATTTGTTCAAATCAGACTTGAAAACATTTCAGACTTTTAACTGACTTGGACTTCAGACTGAAATCCTTTTGCTTTGAGTGTCTCTGCAACTTCATTATGTTTATTTTATTCAAATAAATGAGTGACCATTTCATTCTGTCACAAACAAAATGATAATAATGCCTTCGCAACGTTTGGTAGCGACTGTTTCGGTAGTGACAATTTAACTCATTTTGAGCAGAACTTAAAAATGGTCAGTTCATGACCAGCAAACACAGCTTTGAACAGCTGAACACACAAAATTATGCCATTTTTTACTGAAAAACAAAAAAGTTTTCTTAATTGGAGAAAATGTGCATTTCGGTAGTGATCATTTTTAATGTTACACACCGATTTTCAGACTTTGGGACACATTTACTTCAAAACAGTGAGATCTAACTGCTCACCATGTGGCCATGAGGGACAGGGATGCAGCCTCACTTCCTGCTCTGAAATGCAGGGGCGTGGCAAAAATAAAACCCTTTGTGTTTCAATAACATTAGATGGCATTTTTGAACAAAATTGTTTTATTCAAAAAATAAACTCATGATAAATCTAAATCAGCTTTACTGCAAAGTAAATCAAAAATGATTTAAATAATAAAGTATTTTCACAAGTAGATTTAGGGGTTAAGTTTTGGGACAGACCCCTCTCGATAGAAAGTACTATAGAAATGATGATTTTGTGTATATTTAGCTTATTACTGTCTCTATAAATGCTTTGGGTTTAAATGGATCATGATATAATCCATGCAAACATACCGCAGTTTGTACTAATTTATAGAGAACCTCGCTGGAATAGGCCTTTATAAATTTGAATGCAGGTTTATGTCACTTTTTGTGTATGTTTGTGAATGCTGCCCTTCAGCATATTACTACTCATCACTTTTACCTGTAAGGAAAACAGCCTCTTTTTATTTAATTCCTTTATAATCATAATAATTTCTTTTTGTTTTTAATTTCATTCTTTTCTGTGGGTTCAGCTCCTGGACTCTGTCTTTGTTGTTGCTCAGTCCTCTAAATTTGTAGCTCTAACACCCAAAAAAAGCAGCAGATCAGTGAAGATTAGTGCCTAACAAGCTCCAGTTCCTATGCTGATCGATGCTGTATGTACTAAGATGTTAGGAACTGCTGGAGTACATGAGTTTTTGATTTTACTCTTACAGAAGTTTTTCTTTTGCTTTTGTTAGAGTCATAATTTCATTGAAGTAACAGTACATTTATTAGAAGATGCTCTTAGGCTGCTCTACTCATCTCTGGACATCAACACAGCTAGAAAGTATAGCTTGGTTGTGAATTAGAAGTATAAGAGAAAGTGAAAGGGGTATAGAAAGCGGTGGTTCTGGCAGGTGCTCGGTGAAGTGACTCACTGTGGTAATTCAGTCACGGAAAGGACCTGGCAGTTATTTTCATAGATGTAAACATTGTACCTATTGTATGTGTGTACGGTGGAGTCTAAAAGTCAGAGATCACACTGAAAATTAGGGATTTTTTCATTAAATCCTGGAAACAAATAACAAAACATATTCAATTTAGAAAAATTGAAAACAACAAAAAAGGAATATGCAAGATTCTACACTATTTGTAGCTCACTAATCAAATTTAAGCACATTGTGACCCTGTTAAGGCCTTTGTAAGATGTAAGATTTGTAAGATTGTAAGATTTCTTCTCTTCCATTGAAGCTCATGTTCAAATCTCTAGTAGATCTGATCTAATCAGAGGCTTTTTCACAAACCTGACCGTATTGAGTGCACACTGTCATTAATGCAAAAGTACTAAGAAATTCTGAAATTCTTGTAAATATTTCATATTTCATTCTACTTTTTACCCAAACTATTGTTAATAAGATAAACTGTAATGAAAACTTTGTATTAAAGTAGAAGAATGCAAAAAAGTGTCATTCTCTAGGGTCTCAGACTACTCAGACTATTACACCACTGTATAGTATAATAGGTGTAATCATTATAAATATAAATATCATGTTTGTATATTCATGCAATGTCCAAAAGTTTATAGACACCATCTTATCCAGCGTTTCTTCTGAAATGAAGGGTATTAATAGGGAGTTTGTCCTTCTTTGCTGCAGTAACAGCTTCTACTCTTTTGGCAAGGCTTTACACTGGCCTTATCATTGCTGTGAGGATTTGATTGCATTCAGCCACAAGAGCATTAGTGAGGTCAGGTACTGATGGTGGATGATTAGTTCTGGAACTCCAGCTCATCCCAAAGGTACTGGATGGAGATCCATCTCTACTGAGAACACCATTCCACTGCTCCACAGCCCAGTGCTGGGGACTTTATACCCCTCTTGCTGATGCTGGGCATTGGACATGGTGACCACATGATGCTCATGTCCAGCTGCTTCAGATTGTCCCATTCCATTGGTCAGTGCTTTTCTCTAGAAGATTATGCAAGCTGGGTGTGCACAAGTGAACATCTATATCAGTAATAGTGACCTTGAAGTAGCTGAATTCATTAAATCGAAGGACTGTCTGGATACTTTTGGAAATCTAGTTTACATAATTGTACATTTGAATTAAAAATAGACAACGTTTTAGTAAATTGCGAGTAAGTCGTTGTACTCTTCCTTTCCTTTCGTTGTCGGTGCTTTGGAATGTGCTTCTAAACGCCTTGAATTGATGAAGTGCTGTACGATCGGGTTTCAAATAAATCACACACAGATCCTGAATGACATGAATGTCTGAAACTGTTTAAACCTGTTTCTGTCATCAGAGTTATTGTTATCACTTTTTGACAGAAAAGCTCATCTGATTTATGTTCTGCTGAAATGAGTAACTTGGTATTCTGGCCTGTTCACGCAGGTATGTGCTGGGTCATGATGCAATGCGGTCTATGGGGAAGGCGAATGTCCTCATCAGTGGGATGAAGGGTCTTGGTGTGGAGGTGGCCAAAAATGTAGTCCTGGCTGGGGTCGGTTCGGTCACCATCCATGACCAGGGGTCAGCAGAATGGACAGACCTGTCCTCTCAGGTAATCTGACTTCTGAAAACAAGACACAGTTTCCTCCTTACCCCAAATGTAGTCAATCAGCCAAGACGTGTTTGGTGTCAAAAAGCAGCTAAACAAAATTACAGACGCAGTTCAAGCTTCGAAATGACTCTTACTATTGTTTTTAGCGATGAAGCCTCCATATTTATACGTATCAACTCCTTGTGGATTGGGGGCAAATTTGTGATGCAGGCATGCATTTTGCATCATGCTATTTGGAGTAGGGTGTAAGCTTCCATTTTATGTCAGCTACATTAACCTTATAGGTCCAATGCAAAACTAAACAAGCAAATTCAAACACAAAACGTCGTGGCTGACTGACTACCTTTAGAGTAAATTGCCAAACTTTTTTTATTACCAAACTGTTCTTTTAGGAACAGTGAAAGTTTCAGTATTCAGTGTTTGGACCTGAGTTCTGTTCTGCTGAGCTTGTATCAAATAATAAAATGTGTGGATGTTTTTGGGTCTTATTTGGTTAAAGTGGATCTCTGTTTTCTTCTGTTCTTTGTAGTTTTACCTGAGGGAGAGTGACCTGGGCGAGAACCGAGCCCTTTGTTCTGAAAAAGCCCTTGCCCGGTTAAATAGCCACGTTCGAGTGTCTGCCTGCACTGAAGCTCTAAATCAGGACTTTTTGAGAAACTTCCAGGTAAATATGGATTCTTTTCTTTCTTTAATACTGCTCAACAGGGGCCATAGGCCTGCATTTCTGTAAAACCGAAGTGAATCAAATGTTCAAATTTGTGGCCCAAACTAAAATATATAAAAGATAATGTAACAAAAAGTAAATAGAAATAAAACAAATTGTTCCAGAATTTAGGCCCAGTTCTAATCAAAACGAGAACACACAGTGTCATTGAGTGCGTTTACATGCACCCAATAATCCGATCATAATCAGATTTCTGCTGTCATTTGATTATTCAAATGGTCATGTAAACAGCACACTCAGATTTCTTAAACCAGAGTAAGGTCTAGAGATCTGATTAAAAAATCCGTTACTCAGATTTCTTTCGGATTTCTCAGTCTGTGCATGTGCGAAAACAGATGGTGGTTCTGGAAATAAACAAGCAGTGTTTAACTGCTGAAACCAGCTACATGCTGGATTCAAATACAGGATTCAAATATTCTTTATTTTCTAGATGGTGTATGATGTTCATATTTTCATAAGTGGTGCGATGTTTAAAAAAAGCTGCAGCATGAAGTTTGAGTTTTGTATTACATTTACGTCACGTCTTCTTCTGTGAGTTTGTTGGACGGTTGCAAAGAAGAAATCCGATTACAGCCTCATGTAGACCCGGAGTTTTCCATTAACTGATTACCCAAATGGATGTAAACACATTGATCATATTACTGACAAAACCTGGGTTTTTGCAATTATCATATTATTAAGTGCATGTAAACACACTCAGTGATACCAAACACTGCTCTTATCAAGGACTATTTGACTGCTAATGGCGCCCCCTTTTGGGGAAATTTTAGCCTTCTAAACATGAGTGAGCGTGTGAGTGAGTGAGCTACAATGTAGATCCATGAGTTGCTTTGCCTCTAAAAACTTGATCCACCTTTCAAAGTAAGCTTTAGTTTAGTGCTAAAACTCTGCATGAATACCTTTGAGACCGTTGCTATTTTTGGTGACTGTGCAGTGTTTGCCTCCCTGTCTGACAGCACTTGGAAAGATTCTGTTTGAACTGCTTTCAGGTGGTGGTGCTCACAGACTCGTCGCTGGAAGAGCAGCGGTGGGTGGGTGCATTCTGCCACACCAACAACATCAGGTTTATTGTGGCTGACACCAAAGGCCTTTGTGGGTAAGAATAACAGTGTTATGTAACTTAACAGTCAGTTTTGGTCAAACATTGACCTTGAAATGAATGAACTGTGGTCCAAGATACATTTTGGATATCTTCACTGACAGTTAGTGCTTTTACTGGGACAGTTCAACCATCAGTCTGTAATCAGTTCTTCTTGTCTGTTCTCCCTGTCTGTGACTGGTTTGTAGGCAATTGTTCTGTGACTTTGGAGAAGCTTTTGAGGTCAGAGACTCTGATGGAGAGTCACCACACTCGGCCATGATTACCCACATCTCCAAGGTAATTACAGGAGAGCACAGTACTCATGCTTCACTTTCACTTTACTTTAAGCAACATCCTCATAACTGAGCTATAGTCTTGTCTGACTGGGGTTATTACAGTAAATCAAAAGTGAAACAGTCTGTAACCTGTATTATGACTTCTAAAATATAATAAAGTAATATAGAAATAAAAATTAAGCAGGAAGTGGAAACTAGTATCCAAAAAAGGTTGATGAATCTGTTTTGCATGATAGGTGTACTAAGCAGTGATGTGTACATTTACATGTACAATTAGAAAAACTACAAGTAAAAATGAATACAGTAATGCACAAAAATGTCTTGTTTTTTAGGAAACTTATTAGTATGTTATTTAAAAGAATACAGTTAGAAGAACTCGGGTTTGTTTCCTGACTTCTCGTTGCTCTCCAGCCATCGCATGAATTTATTCAATTTCATCAGCAGCACCTGATTTAATTTAATGAAGTCTGATTAGATAAATTAGGTATCAGATGGTTACTGTAAATACTGGACTTCCTCGATGAGAGCTCTGGAAATGATTATGCTAACACACAGAACATTTACAGTGGACTGTTTATTTGTGTATTTGTGTTTGTTCTATTTTAGTGTTTTTTGTTTTTTTTTTAACAAAAAAATACTTGCTGCCCAGATAAACGGCTTTTCGTGTCATTTTCTCAGAGGACGTTTGCACAGTGCTGTATCCCAGCATGGTATAATATAATTGTATCAGTAGGTCAATGAAAGCTGTTATTATGGTCCAGAATTTAGTCATTCTTAACGTTTATGTATGAAGTATTACTTCAATACGAATCAGCATCATGTGTAAAGGCTGAAAGACTTTGTCTTGCAGGAAAATCCAGGTATAGTCTCCTGCACAGATGAACAGGCCCATGAGTTCACAGACGGCATGCAGGTCACGTTCTCTGGGGTTCAAGGCATGACAGAGCTCAACAGCTGTGGACCCATTGAGATTAAAAGCATAGGTGAGTTATACACAACATAACACAGCATAACTCTTCTGTAGATTTAAGTGGTAACTGTGAAATGAACGATGGTCATTTTGATCATTAGAAATGCAGCGGTTGTGATTTTCTATGGCCAGCTTGCTTACAGGCAGATTGGCCATTTTTTGTCTGATTTTTATTAGCCATTTTTTCATTTTTAGCCCATAATTCAAATAGTGTGTGCTAACTGAACACACGAAACATACTAGCACATTTTTATAGCATTTTCTATTAACGAAAGTTGCAGTTTTAAAGAAAAGTTGTGTTTTTTATAGCAGAATTCCATTTTTCTAAAAGTTACCAAAAATAATTTGCCTATTTAACATAATATAAAATAAGATGAAGCTGGCTATTTAGCCCAACGACTCATGCATAATTATGCTACGACTTTTGCATAATATGCTACAGTATGTAGTCATGTGCAAAAGTTTAAACACCCCCTTTAAACGTATGTCAAGGAACAAACTTAAATATGACATTTTTTCAGAAAATTTTAGTGCACCATTTCTGTTTGAGTTTAATATATTGGAAAAAAAAAAATATATAATATGTGCCATAACTTTTGCACAGACCACCTTTAAATTCAGCAAATAAAAAAAGTTACTGCATGTTAAAATGTGCAGAAGGGTGTTTTCCGTAGAGGATGTGTTAATTAATTTCACTTAGAAAATGAACAACGTGTGTAAGTTGCTCAAACTTTTGCATATAATTTCATGTGTACCAGCAGCATTCAAGTACAGTCTGAGTGCCCTTACCCACCTCACATTATTTACACCGTAAAACTGCAATGTAGACTGGCCAAAATAAAAATAATGATAATGATAATGAAATAAAGAAGTGATGCTTCACCTTCTCTGCAGTTCAAGGCTTGATGGATGATAATCCTGGTGATGTAACTGACGTATTTTTCTCTCTTACTTTTTAGGCAGTTACTCCTTCAGTATTTGTGACACCTCAAACTTCTCTGAGTATGAGAAGGGTGGCGTAGTAGCTGAAGTCAAACAGTCCAAGACTCTTAGCTTTGTGAGTACGACCTAATGCTAATGACATCAACACCATCAACCATTCAGAACAGTATTACTGGGTAACACTTTATTTGGATGGTCCACTTTAGACGCTCTGTAGATACTTAATTTACTTTCAAGTTACATTTAACTAAATATCAATTAAATTGACCATAATTTTCTTTAACTCTAAACCTGGTTCTAATCCTAACCCTAACCTTTGCCTTAACCCTAAACTTAAACCCAACCCTCACCCTGGTTCTACCCCTAACCCTGGTCCAAATCCTAACCCCACCACTGTTTAGAGCTTCAACAGATAGTGTGTTAACAAGTGTGAACATCTGTAGAGAATCTATAGGGGACTATACTGGGCTATCCAAATAAAGTGACTGTACTGTACTGTAGCAATAATTCAAAATATGAGACTGGTCATAGTCACTTCTCTTCTAAATATCAATGATTCTGATTTCATCAGCTGCCTCTGGATGCGGCTCTGGAGGAAGTTGTGAGAGATTCGGATCTGCTGGTGTTGAACGACTATGGGAAAGTTCAGAAGCACCAGAACCTGCATTTCGGCTTCAGAGCCCTGCATGAGTTCAGACAGAAACACGGCCGACTGCCCAAACCCAGGAACCAGGTCAGTAGAACACGCTTCTACTAGGACTGTTATGCATCTGGGCACTAGTGCATGCACATCGATCTCAAGGTCAAAACGATTATAATCAATAATACTAACATTCAATTCAAGTAGGCATTCATTTAAGGTCATTATTTAAATCAAGAATTTACACTCCTATGTTCTACTCATGAAGTATTAGATTCCCCCCACCGGTATGTTAAATTCAGCAAATAAACAGTAAGCATGCATTAAAATTGGCGAAAGTGTTCCTTGTAGAGAGGAGATGAACTTATTTTTGCTTAGAAAATCAGCAAAATGTCATTTAAGTGCCTAAACCTTTGCATATGATTGTAATGGTGGTTTGCATACAGTTTAAATGCCAATGCTAATACTGTAGATTTGAGAGAAATATAACATCTGGATTGCATCTGAGAGTGTACAGTAGACAGACTGTGCTTATTTAAATGAATTTACCTGAATCACTAGTGTTTAATAATCCCAGTGTGTAGCTTACAGTCATATGCAAAAGTTTTGTTGTGAAAGTGAAAATAATACACAGAACCCATTTTTGCACATTTCAATGCACAGTTGCCGTTTATGTGCTGGATTTATCATATTGGCCTAATATTATGCCACATTTTATATTTTAATAGGTTTTTTCCAATATGTTAAACTCAGCAAATGAAAAGAAATTCTGCACTAGAGTTTGCAGAAAATGCCATATTTAAGGATGTTCCCTGTAGAGGATGTGTTCACTTATTTTCACCTAGAAAAACAACAAAACGTGCAATTTGACCTGCCACTGTATTTGCATAAATTAATTTACCACACATTCCTTTTCTGAGCAGTTTGGCAGTTATAGGATATGAGTTGCCCTGAGGAAACTTAAGCAATGATCATGTGATGTTACTTCTTGGTTCATAGTGAAGCTCTTTAGCTGCTCTTCTCTGAAGCAAACTGGCTTCATTTTGCAATGCAGTGTTTAGTTAATTCACAACAATTCACAAGTTCTAAGGTCAGAGTAATATGTAATGTTTCCCATGGTCTGATTTTAGTATACAAACAAGTAACATATTAAAGGAAACATGAATAAGTAATGGAGAAAGATCACGAGTGCAGAACATCCTGTCATGCTGCAGGGCACATATAACAGTACTGAGCAGACCCGGGTGACCTTGATTTTACAACCCAATTTTCAAAAAAGTTGGGACGCTGTGCAAATGTAAATAAAAACAAAATGCAATGATGTGCAGATTATTTAAACTCTATATTTCATTGAAAATAGATACAAAGATAACATATCCAGTGTTGAAATAGAGAAATTGTATTGTTTTTTGAAAAATGTATGCCCATTTTGAATTTGATGCCAACAACATGTTCCAAAAAAGTTGGGATGTGGGCAGCAAAAGGCTGGTAAAGTTGTGTGATGCTAAAAGAAACACCTGGTGGTTGATTGGCAACAGGTCAGTAATGTGATTGTGTATAAAAAAGCATCTCAGAGAGGCTGGACTGAGGGGAAGTGGAAAAGCATCCTGTGGTCTGACAACGTTTGAAATTCTTTTTGGAAATCATGGACACTGTGTCCTCCAGGCGAAAGACCACTCAGCTTGTTATCAGTGCACAAACTGACAGAACAGGAGATTTCATGATATTCCATCTTTAATGACAGGTACCAAATCTCACAAACACAACCTTCTATCTCCATGTCTTTTCATAACAAGACGGATGCGGAGCTGCTGGTTGCCATGGCGAAGCAGCTCAGCACAGCTGCAAACTTTGATAAGTTTGATGAAGACGTCGTGCGCACACTGTCTCTGGTTGCTGCTGGTGATTTGGCTCCCGTTAACGCTTTCATCGGAGGACTGGCTGCCCAGGAAGTGATGAAGGTGAGGAAGACTATGGTAAAATCTTCATGGAGTGCTATTATGCAATGTGTAAATGTTAACCCTTAGAAGTCACAGTAAGTACCAGCAATGACAATATATGTGATATGAAGTATGTCTTGCGTACTGAAGCAAGCAGAGAAGGTGCTAAACTTTCAGTTAATACTGCATTTGTGATTGTATGTAGAAAATGAGATTTTTCATTATAATTTGAATTTGATGAGGTGCCTGAGAGAGGAAAAAACACTTTTTGTCATGTTTTAACATAGGAGCAGATGGAAAAAGCCAGTCCCCACACAAAAGCAGGTTGTTGAAAATAATTACATAATGGAAAACACATTTGCTATTTCTCTAATAAAGCTGGTATTAATCCCACGAACAATGTATCATGAAAAAAGAACATTTTTCAAAAAAGGTCTGCAAAACATTTTACAACAGAACCCTTCGCTTATTCCAATTTGACATCAATTTGTCATTCGCTAGCTTTGATGTCAAGTTGACATCACATCTACGTCAGATGACATTGATTTTCCTGATATTGGGTTGAGCCATGACACTTTTTGCGGCGACATTATAGCTCAGTGTATGTCACAGTGACAAAATGCTGATATGACATAGCTTGCCAGGACAGAATGATCAAAAGTGAGCATTTTCTGTGGTCTTTCTGTAAAGTGCTTTCATTTTAACATTTATAAGATGTAAGCTAATTCACACATTGTCTGCATAGCGTTACTGTGGTATACACTAAGCTACAAAGTCAGTTGTTATAACGTGTCATTTCAAAACTCATGACACAACCCAGTGTTAGGTGTCAACTTGACATCAAAGATGTCAGAAGCAGCATTTATGACAGATGATGCCTATTGGAATAAGCCTTTATAAATGTAGATCTATGTCAGTTGTTATGACAAGCTTATGTAGGTGTTTTGTCTCCTCATGAACGCTGCCCAACAGTAAGGTGTTACCATAATAACTAGTAACTTGTAGATACATTTCTAACTGAGATCCACTAACATAAATCAATGAATTACAAATCGGTCGTAATTGCTTTTTAATAAATAGATAACGTTCTGTGAGTTTATCAGGCTGTCATGTCTGAGACACTGTTTTTCTTCTTCTTTGTGTGAATGTTGATCAGGCCTGCAGTGGTAAGTTCACTCCGCTCAAGCAGTGGTTCTACTTTGATGCTCTGGAGTGCCTTCCTGACCAGGAGGGCGGTGGTCTCCTGACAGAAGAAGCTTGTGCTCCGGTAAGCAACTTCTTACATTCTGATTTCACAGTGTCATGTTATTATAACAGAGCCAAACAGTGTAGAGGCATCTATAAAAAAGTTTAGACACATCTTTTCATAGAAGGCCTTTTCTTTATGTAGTATTATTCAGCATCTTTATCATATCTTTATTATTTTAAACTCTGAAAAATAGTAAATAAATAAACTATTTAGATTTACTCTCCTTCACAACTCTGCTGACTGGCATTCAGACTTAAATGGTTACAGCGTAATCAAAGTCATTCAAAGTGGTTTGGTGTGAAATGCTCAGTTCTAGGGAAACTTACAGAGTCAGAATTGTTCACTGTGGTGGAGATAGGAACCAGACGTCTGAGGAGTTTGAGCCTAAAATTTATTTTTAAAGTCTGTTCATGGTGAAGAGGTACATGCAAGGTGTTGTGAGGTAAAATAGTCCCCAAAGAAGACCTCTGTTTTCAGGTTTACCACTATTTTGCCATCATCCATATTACACATCAACACTCCAAAGACACGAGTAGGTTCACTGGTGATTTTGTATAGTAAACAGAATGGCTATATTTGGGTTGTAGTCATGGCGACCCCTGGTTACTATCACCACCACTGTAAAGAAATAAGTCATTACATTTGTCTGTAATTCACTGTTTTACATCAAACCACTCTGAATGACTTTGTTGACATCTCAATCACTGAATTATGTAGAGCTTTAGTGATGACATTCTCCATTAGTGATGACATTCTGCAAATTCACTTTTAATGAGGAAAACAATAATTAGGCTGATGTCATTTTGTTGCTCGACTCTAAAAACATTTTTCAAATTTTAAATTGAATCTGCTTTTTGAGAAACATTTAAATATTTGGTTTTGGGAATAAGTTCATAAATATGCTTCAACTGTTTACATTTTTAGAACTACATTTCAGACATTTGAGCAAAGCTTTTAGATCAGAACATATTTAAGATTATGAAAAAACAGGAGTGCTAAACCAGGAGTGCAATCAAGAGTGATAACTATACACTTAATATTCACAAAAGTCCCCAGTTTGAGCTCCTCAATTTCTGTATTTTTGCTGTGCTGGAATGAATGTTTAGTTATTTTAGTCTCGTTTTGTTCCTCTCCCCCCCCCCACAGAGAAACAGTCGTTACGATGGGCAGGTCGCTGTGTTTGGAGCCGACTTCCAGGAGAAAATAAAGAAACAGAGATATTTTCTGGTGAGTGTTGTTTATATTTTTCACCAGAAGAGGGCGTTACTGCCCTTCTCTGTCCCTCATTTCAGCTCACTTTAGAGGAAAGTTCAGCTTCCACGGCTGTTCTGACTCACTGACACTCTGTGTTCAGTCTTTTCAGCTTATTTCACAAGGCAGGTGGAGGAAGTGCTCTCGGGCAGCTGACTGTGGATCTGCTGAGAGCAGGAAGTAACACAGGGTAGTGTAGCGTGTCAAAGAATGTGATTCGGGTGGCATTTCCTTCAGAATAGCCAGGATGTGTGCCAGTCACTGCACTCAGGGATTCCTGTATACAGTCTTTTGCTCAATTTTTATAGTTGTGTGATAACAAGTAATACATATGATGACCATGCATGAACAGCAGTCAGTCAAATTTTAGGAATGTAAACTCTGGCAATTAAAAACTGCATATGATCCCAGCTGCACACTCAGCATTCAACATACACCGTAAATTTTCTTACATTTTTTTTTTACAAAGATCTCATTTGAAATGCATTTGTAAAATTGTAGCATTTTTTTACTTGATATGGGTCTAAATATTACAAAATATTTGGCAAAAGATATTACATTTAATTTAGTTTTTCAATAATTCTGTGAAAAAGAAGTTATTAAACAATAATTAATAAACTGTAATTATTTTTTTGACATGTTGTTTACCCCTAGTTATTGATTTGATCTAGACTTGTGAACTATATCTTGACACCATAAAGCTTTCTCAGTCATTTTAGAATCGTCTGCAGCTCTGTTCATCATTCTGGACACATCTTACATTCCTTACTGTTTATTCACAGCTTCCTAGAGCCATGATTATTATCTGAATCCAGCGGTTAACATTGATTTTAGAGTGATTTTATACATTTATCTGAAACCAAATTTGTATTGTGGTCTTCAAAACATCGGGCCTCATTCTCACCATTCTTAAGAGGAAATTTCTTCTTAAAAACCCCTTATGCAGTTTTCACAAAGATTCTGACATCCACCAGTGTTTTCTCATTTGAGGTTTGGGTAAGAACAGAATCGACACACACTCAAAAGCACAAAGGTGTGAACAGTTCTGCAGTTAAAGGACATGTCGTGAATCTGACGTAGACTTTTTCTGAAGACTTTCTCAAGAACAAATGTAAGAAAAACGTAGGAAGATATTGGCGAATGAAGCCCGTTGATTCCAGACTTCAGTGTATGATATAAATGTCTCTTATGCTTATATGTTTGTCTGCACGCTGTATATCTAGTAGTTGTGTGAATCTCCACAAACGCCTCTCTGCGTAATCAGGTGGGTGCTGGCGCTATTGGCTGTGAATTATTGAAAAACTTTGCCCTGATTGGCCTCAGTGCTGGAGAAGGCGGGCACATCACTGTGACGGACATGGACTCCATCGAAAGGTCCAATCTAAACCGGCAGTTCCTGTTCAGGTCCGAAGATATAGGGGTAAGAAAGCCAGTTGGCATCCTGTCCTGTAATTTCCTTACATGATACGCTCTGTAGCTCGCTGTCTAGAACCTGTAGTCAAATCAGATCAGGTCAAATCACTTTTTGCACTAAATACAATAAAGAATGAGTGGAGTCAAATAAAATCAGTCAGAGATTCAAGTTTTGGAGGACAAAAACATTCAAGTCATGTTTGAAGTTGCAGTGACTTCTGAATGTACGGTCGAAAAGTGCTAAATTTTGGATGCCCCCAGTCAAATTACATATTTTGTTGATTTTCTGAGTGAAAATGAATTCGCACATTTCTCCTGCACATTTTATATTTTATGATCTATTTTTTCCCGCATGTTAAGTTCAGCAAATACATGGAACTTGTGCACTAAAATTTACAGAAAAATTACATATCTAAGTTTTTTCTCTGTACAGGATGTGTGAACTTATTTTCACCTAGAAAATCAACAAAACATGTTATTTGGCCAGAGGTGTTCAAGCTTGTATGGTATGTGTGGTATGTATGGTAGCCTTTAATCAAAACACTAACAGTGGAAAATGTAATAAATCAGTACAACATCAACATCAGCAACTCATTTGGAAGATATTTTGGCCAAATGTTTGTATTTAAAGAGGCAAAATGTTGAATAATGTGAAATTTTTGCCCTTTGGTCCTGGTTATTTTGGACACTGTCATCCAGTTGTTAACATTACACTACATCCTGTTGAAGTTCTCTGTGTTTTCCCAGTGTTAGTTGCACTAAAAGTGGCTAGTACACTATTGAAGTGCTCAATTTGAGAAACAGTTTCACTCTTAGGAGCGAGTTTAGCACAAAATACTATGCTCCATATAGGCAAGAGTGGAAAATACTGTTGAAAATAAGTGATTGTTCTTCATTACTGTACTTAGGTATTAATTTGGATGAGTTATACTTTGCTCAAGTATTATTGCAACTGGATACATTTACTTTTAGTTACAATTCTCAATTACATTTACAAGAGAAAAAGCCATACTTTTTGCTCTGAACATTTCCATTTGGACCTTCAGAATATATTCCTTTTACTTTTAATGCATTAAGTAAATTCACAATTAAGTACATTTGTACTTTTACTTAAGTAGTATCTTACCAAAAGCATATTAAGGCACAATCCCATTTCTTATTTTTACCCCTACGCCTTGTTTTCAAGTGCCACCTTGCCTGGAACTGAGTTACAAGGGGTGGTGGTTGAAATCTTCCCTACAAAATGGGACCCTCAAATAAAAAGAGCATTACTTCATCAACAGCTACTAGCGCTGCTCTGTAGGCGACCCTGCCAGTCTGCAGTGACAGCAGAGGAGGGTAAAGTTCAGCTCCTCACTGCTGGGCTTTAGTTACATTTAGGGCTCATATGCCTTCAAAGAGGGGGGATAAGACACTTATTATCACCCACCCATAATTCTTCGGTGATATGAAACTGAAGTCTGATATTCGCCAGCTTCTTGTTTGAATTTTCCTGTTCCACCTTAAATGGAGCAGCAGTTACATTCTGGCGCTTTTGGCGTCAGAACTACTGGACTATTTAAGGTGGAACAGGAAATATAGCTAGCTAGCTACCGAGACAACAGCAAACTACTGGCGATTTTTATGCTTGTTATGAAGCAAAGGACCATAATACATTGAAACGACATTAAACTAAGATAATACAGTGGTTATTGTATAATACATGTAGCCCTAACACTTCACCTTACCCCTCTATCTCAACAAAAATTGGGACACCCTACCCTTAGTGAATGCGCAAAATGGGGGGCTAAGGGCTAAGTGGTAGTGGCAAGGGGGGAAATAGGTTTGGGCCTATGTATTGTAGTTTGTATTGTAGTTTTTCCTCCCTTGCCTAAAAAATACAAATTTAGATCAGCTTGATATAGAAACCACTGCTCTCTCTCCCTCTCTCTCTCTCTCTCTTTCTCTCTCTCTCTCATCACAGAGGCAGAAGTCAGAGGTGGCAGCTGAAGCTGTGAAAAAGATGAATCCCAGCGTGAACATCACGGCTCATCAGAACCGCGTGTGTCCAGAGAGCGAGGGCATCTACACACACCAGTTCTACAGCGGCCTGGACGGAGTGGCCGCAGCACTGGACAACGTAGACGCCCGTGAGTGACATGACACTGCAAACCAGTGACGTAACCTTGCTCGTGCAAGCCGAAGTGGAGAATACCTGTCCTGCAGACAAACACAGCATTCTGCGTTGTTGTGAGAGAGAGATAAATCCCGTTATTATGTAAGACAGATTGTGATCTTTGTAATAGTGTCTCCAGGGAGGGCTGAGGGCTTAGGAATGCATTCTAGGTCACATTGCATGTCAACATTCTTGTTGCTTCACTCTCGGCCCCCATCTGCCCTGCCCAAAATGACAGAATGCTGGCTTATTTGACCAGCTGTGTATCATTGGAAGGAGTAAGCAATATACATAAAATACACAGTAAATATAAAAATATGATAAAACATGTGCAAAGGAGGTTTTGTACACTTACATTATAAGTATTGCTAATATCCCCCTCTACTTTTCATCTGTTTTTCATGTGGATTTAGTTAAAAAAGAATGAAACAATGAACGAAACAAATAACGAAAAGTCTTGAACTTGGACTTAAAGAGGCCGCTTGTACTTGGCACTTGTGTCCCTCATAAGGCCAGCCGTTGCTTTATTTCAGAAAAAAAGATACATTTTCATAACTGTTTAGCTTGTAAACACCAAAAAACCTTTTTAAGATGTATTAAAGGGCCCATAACTTGCATTTGTCTTACATTTGTCATTATTTATGTAGGTTTATATAACAGTAACAGTCCTAATTGATTTCCCAACTGTCACGCGACCCATTTCACCAGAAGACTTAGACACAGGTGAACTCCAACACCCATAATGCATCTGGTTCTGATGTCACAGTCACAAGCCCACTATCACCCAATCACGAACAGTTACAGATCCTCCTCCCCTGAATTCTAATCACTCTCACCTGTGCTCATTAGTTCTGTTTGTATATATACCTGTTCATTTCACTCACTCCTTGTGAAGTGTTGCCAACTGTCCTGTCTTTTGCATACTGAATGGTCTGTTTATGCCTCCTTTGTTGTTTGACCCTCTTTGGTCCTTATTTACTCTGTTGGATTTTTCTTATGGACATTGATGGTTTTGATATTAGCTTCTCTGGCTTTCAACCGCTGCTCTCTTGGTTCTGACCTGGCCTGGGTTACTAATTGTTCCCTTGTTTTGCTCTATTGTAAATAGAGCTCAGTCATACGTGACACCAACCTCTCGCTTAGAATTAAACAGGCTGTTTCTAATACGGTGCCTTTAAGACTGACATATATAAATAAATATATAAATGAGCTCTGCTTTGATTGGCTGCTCTGTATTGCACCTCATTCAAAAAGCAGTCTGGGATGAAACAGTCTTTACAGCTTAAGCATGAATGGGTGGCGCTAATCTACTGCAAGCTAAATAGGCAGATATATGTAAATGTGATATTTGATATAGAGTTTCATATATGGGCTGAGGAGTGAATGATATGTTTTGAAACTTTAACAGTGTTTACATAGTACATCACACTCTTCTATTTCTAGAAAGTGAGGAAAAGTTATTTTTCCAAGATATGGGCCCTTTAATAACAGACATTTTAAAGTGGGAACCATTGCTGATCTAAATATTCAACATTTGATGTGTTTAAGCTAGGACTGTGTCTCTAATCGTTGTGCTTTAAATCTTGTCTACTAGATTTGATCTAATTGCATCTATCATGATATTTACATATTTACTTCGTTATGTTTATTTTTGCAGAGCAATAGGTATTTTGTGAACTTTACAAAGCAATGGAAATTGTAATATTTCTCTGTGTCTGTTTAAAGGAGTCTATCTGGATGGGCGCTGTGTGCAGTACCAAAGGCCCATGTTGGAGGGGGGCACACTGGGCAGTAAAGGGCACACTCTGGTGGTGGTTCCACACCTGACTGAGTCTTATGGCCCAGCATCATCATCAGGACAGAAGGCCATTCCTCTCTGCACCCTGAAGCACTTTCCCCACCACATAGAGCACACTCTGCAGGTGAGCGTTGCACATGACTGGGACTGTACTTTCAATCCATTTGTTAATCATGTTCTCGTCTGTCTGTCTTTCTCACTGCTAGAAAAGTTTGTGGACTCTTTGCATTCCTATTGTTTTAGTGTTTATAATGTAAGATTTGATTTTCATCATTATGTTTCCAATTATGTAAGAAAAATACCACAAAACAGCTGATATTTTTGGTATATTTTGCAACGCACAGCTTTAGGGCTGCCCGATATGAACATAAAATGTGATGTTAAACACAAGTACAGTTCCTGGATATTGTGTTGGTGATATGAGAAACACTAAATTATGATTATAAATGTGTTTTTTACTCTGAATCTGCATCACAAACAGACTTAATTGTGCTGTGTAATTAATAGAGATCTCTCTAACCTCTGCAGTCAGCGTTTCCTTAACAGCCATTTCTGTGTAGGGCTATATGCCTGCTAAAATGATTTAATGCCTTAAAAAGCTCTTTATGGTGATGCAGGTTTGTTGTGCCCGTGGCCTTTACTGCTTCATTTTACACATAACACTGTGAGTGAGAAGAATTGTCATGTTTAAAGCATTTTTACAGGCTAGTAGTTCAAGATAGAGTAATTTTTTTGAGCTGTGCACTCTGTAGCAGAGTGGTTAAGTCACCCACTTTGTGTTTTGAGTTGCTGGTCCTAAGGGCTTTAATATTAACATGGGTTCTGAGGCTATATTCATGTTAATTTTGCATCACTCTGAGGCGTGAAATGCCCCGTCTGTTATCACAACCCTTAAAAAGGACCTATGACTGTTAAGACATTTAAACCCTTTGAGGCTGCTATCACAGTGATTCACTAAGCAGGGTATTATATGCTATTATGCATGTCGCACATAGACTGTAGATGCATGTAATGTATCCAACTGTCGTTTCAGTGGGCCAGAGACCAGTTTGAGGGCCTGTTCAAGCACTCAGCTGAGAATGTTAACCAGTATCTGAGGTATGTTCAAATCCAGTGTGCAGCAACCATTTGAAAAAAACAACAGGAGAAAATATGGACTGCAATAAATATTTAGAAGCTGAGGTTTGTCCGTTAGACAGGCTGTCATTCCCAGACACAAACGCACACGCTCACAACACCCTAGAACTGCAAGCCTTTAACAGGTTCCTCCTGTCCAGATATAGTCATTCGTTATTTGCTGAGTCTGAGCTGTCTCCTGCCTTCCTGAACCAAGTGTTGACTTAGAGGGGAATTCCACCCATTTTCAAAATTTCTGCATAAGTAAATAGTCAAGATGTAGACAAAGTCATTTGAAGTGGTTTAAGTGAAATGCTCTATTCTAGAAAGACTTACAAAGTCAGAATTGTTCACAGTGGTAATGGCAACCTGACATCTGAAGCGTTTAATGCCTCTGGAAGTTGTGAAAAAAAATGATTAAATGAAATGGTTGTGAATATGCTGACTGATGTCTGAGACATTGTTTTAGAAGTTTTGAAAAGGTTTTGGCCTAAAATGTATTCTTAGAGAGGGAAATGTAAGTGTTATAAGGCAAAATAGTAAAAAAAAAAAAAAACATTTTTTCAGATTTACCATTTTTACGATTATTAGCATTATATGTAAAAACTCATGTGGGTTCACTGGTGGTTTTGGATAGTAAACAAAATGGCTATATTTGTGTTGTAGACATCGAGATCCCTGGTTCCTATCACCACCACTGTAAAGAAATCGGTAAAAGAGTCAGTATGTTTCTCTACAATAGATCTTTTCTCACACCATTCCAAATGACTTTTGTTTACACCCTAATAGTTGAAAATTTTGAAAAATCGATGGAGTTCCCCTTTAAGCCAGATCTGCCCCCTCTCCGCTGTTTGAAAGAAAGCGAGGGATGTTTAGCAAGAAATTAGTGCAAACGCTCAGACAGGAAGAGGAGGCTTGTGGGCCGGGCAGATAGTGCATAGTGTGTGCTGCAGCATGTTTCCCTTCAAACCAACTACTTCCTGTTGATTGACTGCAAAAGCACCTTCTGACTGAAGTTAAAGAGGACCCACCCTAGCCACTACACTGACTCATCAACCCCAGCAGCTTACACCAGTACAATAGTTACATTAGCACCTCACAATATGTTATGCAGGCCAACGCAACCACATATTGCACACCAGACTAGACTGAAAACCAGGGTGATTTTGCTGTGTCTGCAGTCGTCTGTGCTTGAAAAAGAATGTTACCAGTAGATGTTTGGCTTGTGTGCGGTTTTGAATGAAGAAACTTTTGCAACCCCCAGTTCCCTGTATAATTATCTTGAGGCGCATTCTTCTGTAGCTCTTTGTCTTGCTTACTTTTCGCTTTTTTTGTGTGGGAAAACTCAACTTTCAGCAAGCATAAAAGAAAAGTCTGGCAAAAAATCCATGTCTGTACAAATTTCCACTTAAATCAAATGTAGTCCAGTAAACATAATCAGCAAATGTTCAGTGTCTTAAGTTTGCTTCTTTAGTTTTGCACTTGAAATACAAAGCTAATGTGACTAACACTTAAACCTATACCCCACTGATTAGCACTGGGCCACCTACATGCTTGAATCATTACACTAGCCTCAAACTGTTTGTCTGGTAATCTCAAATGGACAAAGGTATTGACAAAATTCACAAACTCCATGGCTGCTGCCCCTGTTTTTAGCTATGCTAATATACTTTGGTCCATTTTATGGATAACAGTATGTCACACAGTGTCAAAACCGAATGAGCAAGTCTATTAGAGATTACTTAATAACTTTGTATGATTTGAATCAGGCTTGTGATTGTTGAGGCATGTAGGTTTCATGTTACAAACTGGTGGTCAGAAGCTTTTATAACATGCTAGCTACATTAGCCTTGTAGCTCAAAGCTAAAAATTTCCATTAATTTTTGTTTTGTTTTATTTCTACCTGATTCAGTCAATAAAATGTAAACATTCAGAGTGGTCATTCCGATTTCTTTACAGTGGTGGTGATAGAAACCAGGAGTCACCATGACTACAACACAAATATAGCCATTTTATTTACTATCCAAAACCACCAGTGAACCTACACGAGTCTTCTGAGCTTTTAGATCAGAACCATTGGCCAACTGTGCTCGCACACAGAAGAATTAGACCTCCGCATTTAACCCATCCGTGCTGTGAAACACCCACATACATACGCGCTAGTGAACATACACACTAGGGGGAAGTGAGCACTCTTGCCCGGTGTGGTGGGCAGGCCTATCCACAGTGCCCGGTGAGCAGTTGGGGGTTAGGTTCCTTGCTCAAGGGCACTTCAGTCATGTCCTGTCGGCTCCCTAGGTTCCCTAACCTCCACCCCATGACTGCCATTATCAATATAATATTGATGATGATGATGATGAAAAAGTGGTCAATCTTAAAAATGACCTTTTCCTCTCAGCCATGAATGTGTTTTAAAAAATAACTACTAAAAACTATTGAAAACAGTGTCTCAGACATCAGACAGCTTATAACTATTTCATGTATTAGCTTCATGTGAGGGAGATTTTTAGGGACATCAAACACTGGACGTCTGGTTCCTATCACCACCACTGTGAGCAGTTCTGATTTTCTAAGTTTCTCATTTCAGACCAATCCACTCAGAATGACCTTGTTTCAGTCTTAATGATTGAATTATACATAAATGGAAAGAACTTGATCAAATATTGAAAAGAAATTACTATTAAGGGAGAAAAAAAATTGTATTATTTTTTTTCTGGACTGTTCCTTTGAGACTACATAGGCATAGAACTGATTAGAACTGAAATAAAATCTCATACTGCTGTTGACCAGCAGCGCTAAAATAGGCACCACATTGGTTGCATCAGTCCTTATCGAGTGTTATGTTGATCTTCCGTTCTTCACTTGTTCTGGTTCTCTCTGACAGTGACCCTGAGTTCTGGGCTCGTACAGTGGCCCGTGGGGAGGTGGAGGCTGTGGAGGTGTTGGAGGGAGTCTACGCCAGTCTGAAGGACCGACCGCAGGACTGGACTGAGTGCGTAGCATGGGCCCGTATCCAGTGGGAGAGCCTCTACAACAACCACATCGACCAGCTGCTCCACTGCTTCCCTCCAAACCATGTAATTCCACACATACATCCACACATACGTCTGATTCAGTGCAGACTAGTGTAAACATTTGCTGACAGTGAGTGTCTGTGTATTAGAGAGGGGGATGACATCCAGCAGTTGGCAAATCATGGCTCAGTGCCAGCGGCCTGGAGGATGCAGCTGTGCTGTGAGACTGCATTTGAGACCAGCAGGGGGGGCTGTGGCCTGCACAAACTCCGTTCATTCAGTTTCATTCAGCTCTGAGAGATGGAGTTGTGTCAGGGAGGAAGAAAAAACAGAATGTTTGAGAAGGCCTAGTCTCAAGGCCGACGCAACATAAACATACAGCTAATTGTACTGTATTTAGAACAGAACAGAATAGGAGTAGAACTTGGTCAAGGCAGAAAAATGGTAAAAACCACACACAGTACAAACACAACACTGACAACAGTAAAAAGCACACTGTGCAGACATGATGCCTACAATGTACATCAATATACACATAACATATGTGAATCATTAAAAACTGTTGCAATTTCTTAGTCATGATTTTATGTGCTCAATTGTGAGTATTTGTCATTAACAATAGCTTTCCTGCATACAGCTGTTAAATAGTCTTATGCAAAAGTTTGGGTACCCCTGGTCAAGTGCACTGGTTACTATTAATTTGCAGAATTTAACATATAAGGGAAGCAAAAATAATAAAATGTGGCGTGTGTAACTGTTTGGGCACATGCCGCATTTTATGTCTTATTTTCGTCCAGTATGTTAACCCTTGTGTGGTGTTGATGTGTTTGTTACTCAGTGGTCTGGTGGACCCAGTGCATTATTGTTTTTTTTAAATCAATAGTCATAACAAGTTATGTAAAAATGACAAAGGTTTAAAATATCACAAGTGTCTAGCGTAGGGTTCTCCTTTAGCAGCTGTAGCCAGTCAGCAGCCTGTCCATGTTGTCCACCCTCACACACACACAGACACACACACACACATATGCGAACACATGCACACACACACACATACACACACACACACACACACACACACTCACTAACAGCAGGCCATGTAGGAGGAGAACAGAGTGAAGGACACAGCACCTCCACACTTTTATTCCCTGCAGGTTCAGCCCAACACCACATGTGTAATATAAATGTGTGGGGGGTGAACAGAGTGAAGTGAACACCACACATGGGTTAAAAAGAAATAAACAGAATTGTGGGGAACAGATCATTTGGATAACCTGCTGTAAGTGCTTTGTAGATGCTTACCTAACATTCAACTTACAGTTAACTAAATATCTATTTCCCCTAATTTTCTCTTACTTTTACCCTGGTCCTAACACTAACCATATACGTCAACCCAAAACTTATTCCTGTTTGTCTCCTGTAGAGGATGTGTTAACTTATTTGCGGACTAATGGACTGACATACAGCTTTTCCAAAATGTGTGTAGATGTAGAGTACACATCACATACAGTTCTACTGCAGAGTAGAAACACATTAGAAGCTGATATACATTACATTTATTCAGGTCATGAAGGGCACGCACACCTCAGCCCCCCCTCTCTCTGTCTCTGAGCTGAAAGGCTGTACCGGTAGTTCTGTGGTCTTTCTCATAGTGTCAGTTCCCAGCTAACTGTCATTATTTTGACCACAGTGCTGTTTTGAGGAAATTGATTATGGCCACAGCTCATCATAAAGCAAAAATGGGTCATCTCTGCTCTTGAGCAGTGAATTACCTTTCTGATAAAACTTGAACTGTTTCAAACTGTGTTATCGTTGTCCAGATTAGAGGAGTTGTATATGTGGCATTTCCTTCAAAAAAGCCGAACTAACATAAGCAGAAAATCTGAAATTGAAAAATGCAAGTGAGCATTTTTGCAGCTAGAATTTGCGTTTCTGTGTGAGGCCGAGCAGGTGATTGTGTAACATTGTGAGTGTGCAGTGGTCACCACTGTTCAGGACTACAGGATGTTGTTCCACGCCTGCAGCATAGAGACATCACTGTCTAATCTATATCTCTCTGTGTGCACAAGCACTGAGCAGGCAGATGACAGCAGTGGTCAGAAAGTTGGAAATGTCCATTATCTTGCTGCTCTGTTCTTATCTAGTGGACTAGTATTTTGATATCAGGAGACGTTTATATTTGGTCAGTATTTCAAACTGATGTTTGATGATGTACCCATTGTCCTCTAGAAGAGCTGCACGTTTAGGCAATGCTGGGTAACAGTATTCAAATATCTGCATTTTATTCATTTCACTGCACTCTGTAATGCTGATCCAGGTGGATTTATTACTAATGTGTACATTTTATAAATATGTATGTATCAGCATCAGCAGATGTGCATGAAGAATATTGGCATCAGCGCACAATTCCCATATCAGTGCATACACACTTAAAAATGATTTCTTCAAGGGTTCTTTAGTAAAGAAAATGGTTCTATGTAGAACCATGGAAACTCAAAGAACGCTTTGCATGATTAAAGGGTTCTTTGCATCATGAAAGGGTTCCTCAGATTGATGGAGAATATGCTGTAGATGGTTCTATGTAGAACCTTTTTGAAAATGATTCTATATAGCACCAAACAGCGTTCTTCTATTGTAACAAGCCTGACATCATAACAGTAGAAGAATGTTTTTTCGTGCACATTCACCATCAAAAGTTCTATATAGAACCATTTTCTTTATTAAAGAACCCTTGAAGCACCATCATTTTAAGTGTGTCCTGTAAAGGTTTTTTAGTGGCAATTAAATATTTGTTCATTTGTAGGTATGGTTTGAATTCTATGACGGCCTGAAGTGTAGCTCTGAGATAAGTTGTAAATTCCAGATATCAGTTTGATTTAAACAAAATAATAATAATAATAATAATAATAATATAAATAATAATACACAAATATATAAATTAAGAAATGTCACGTTTTTTGGTCTTAGGCCAATTTTGTTGCTGCACATGTTGTCCCAGTGTTTTGTGTATAGCTAAATTATAGGACACTCTTCAAACGTGAGATTAAGGATGTTAACACTGACCCTAACTTAAATAACTTTTCAGTGGTTTGAGATATTAACATGATTCAAATTCCACATTAAACTAGAGAAACCAAGCTGTCTGAGGAAATGCAGTGTTGTGTTGTATGTTGTATTTTTTGTGAAATTGCAGGCCCAGTTTGCTTGTGCAGAATCAGAGGGCGCGAATCATTTGATGATCATGTAATGAAACACCAGTATACAGTGAAAAGTATGAAGATAATTGATTCCACTTTTAGTTTTAGGTGTTCATGGAGATTTATTTAAATTCTTGTGTAATTCAAGTGTTAAGTTGTAAACAAAGTCATTCAGAGTGGTTTGTTGTGAAATGGTTCAATGTAGAGAAAACTTGCCAACTCAATTTTTTTCACAGTGATGGTTTAAGGAACCAGGGGGTGCAATGTCTGCAACACAAGACATTTTACTAGCCAAATGACCGACACTCTCTTTGTGTTTAAATGTGATGTTTATGATGGTGAAATAGTGATAAATCTAAATCTAAAAATTTGCTTTACAGCACCCTGCATGTACCTGACCCATGAATGTATTTTAAAAAATGTATTTTAAGCAAACCTTAACACGAAATGGTCATAAAACAAAGCCTCAGACATCAGGCAGCATGTTTATAATCATTTTTTGTGAGGGCGAATTTCAAGACATTAAGTCTTCAGACGTCTGGTTCCTATCAACGCCACCGTGAACGATTCTGAGTCAGTAAGTGTCTCTAGAACTGAGCGTTTTACATCAAACACTCATGATGACTTGATTATGCAGACATTTTGGAAATGCAGAGAAATCTAAACGCTGTGGAGTTCATGTGAACTGTTCTGGGTTTGATTAGATGGTTTGGTGATAAGCCTGTGACATCATTAGCAGTGATGTTTCTGCTGTCAGTCTGATCAAAGGCTCCACAGCAACTGGTCCTCTGAGCAGCTCCCCTCTGGGCTTTTATCACGGGACAAATTGTGTTAAACACCTGATAAACTCATTACAGAGCAAAAGGCTTGGAGACAAGAGCTTTACAGACATACAGTCTGCTGCTCAGTGTTTGGCGTTAGTTTGTGAATTGCGTCTGCAAACACTGTTCATGTCTCCAGCTCCTCTGTGAGTTTCAAGTTGTTAAGTTTCATTGGCTTTAACTCTCTCTTTTGGTTTTTAGGCTAGTCTGTCTGCTGCATCTGTAATAGATCATCACTGTCAGGCCAAAAGACGTGCCAAAATTACTTGGGATGAAATCTTTACATTGTCTTCCAATTTTTATTCCTTCTTCTGTGAAGTTACTATTTTGGAGATATGAGTTTTTAGTTTTTAGCTTACAATATTTCTGTTGTTTTAGGTTCTAAAAACAGTCCTATTTCATTTTACATGACCATTTTCCAATTAATAGAATTAAACAGTTAACTTACTGTGCCTATATATGTATATATATATATATATATATATATATATATAACTTCTGTTCTCATTGGCTGCTCTGTATTGTGCCTTCTTCAAATCACAGTCCAGGCTGAAACACTCCTTATAACTTTACTGTGAACAGACAGGCTAAACTGCTGTCGGCTGAATAGTTGATTATATGTAAATGTGTTGGTTTTCGTTACATCACAAGAACAATGAACTCTAAATGGGCTGTTCTTTCAGCTTAATTTCCATATACATATTGTTGTCAGAACAAAACCTCATATCTCCATTTTCGTCGTTCTTCAGTGTTTGATATACTTTGAAAATACCATTCGTTCTTTACACTGTGTGCAAATTTCTCAAAGAATGGACCAAAAGAAATGACCCAAAATCACTTGGGGGAAAAAAAGTCCGGGTCCATTGACTTACATTAAAAGTAGAGTATGTTTTTCCCTTCTCCTGTAAAGTTACCATTTTAGAGATACGAGGTATTATATATATATATATATATATATATATATATATACATACACACACACACATATGTATGTGTGTGTATGTGTGTGTGTATATATATATATATGGACAAGGGATGGATGAAACTAAAGTGTTTACATACTACTCCAAACTCAAAAAGGGAGGCAAAATCTTTTTTTTGTGGCACTTTAATTTTGCTGTACTTAGAAAAGAACAGAAAACCACTTTACTCAAAACACCTCTATAATAGAACTCAATGGGCCGTTTTAAAGGCTACTTCAATTTCTCTAACAGTTGCCATTATGCCAGTGGGATGGTAATGTTTTACTTCTTTTAAATTGTTATCTCTCTGCTGTCTCTTCAGGTAACTAGCTCAGGACTGCCTTTCTGGATGGGAGCAAAGAGATGTCCACATCCCTTAACCTTTGACCCAGCCAATGTAAGTCTAAGCCAGGGAGACTCTGGTTTGGTCACTGTTTGGGTTCTCCTGTTGCCCCCTTAGGACAGAAATGCCTGAAATATCTTTCTCTTGCCTGATAACACCTCACCTTTTCTCTCCTACTGTGCACTAAATCCTTATCTACATCAGTATATCACTGGTGATAAACTGCTGTAGACAAGAAATCACGACTGCCCCTCCAAACACGCACACGCAGTCGTATATTCAGTTTGAGTGGCATTAATCAGATTACATTGATGATTTTGTAAGTGAAAAGTAAGTTAACACATCCACTGCAGAGAACACACTTAAATATGACTTTTTTACTAATTTTAGTTCACAGTTTCTGTTACTAAGTTTAATATATTGGAAAACATATTTTAACTCATTTTTGGCACATTTAATGTTTTATTTTGTCACCAATACTGGTAGATATCTGTGATGATTGACAAGTAACCCAGTGGTGATTGATCAGCTCACTAAATAATATTAAATGATGTGTACATGTAATGTTTTATTCTCTTTCTCTTTTGAGACTGTGGATTTTTAACACACCCATTAGGCTGCAGTATAACAAATTATCCACTGTGCGAATACTGAGAAAAGGCATTTTAACCTGTAACAATTGCAATCCTAAAAAAGGTTACACAATCCTGGTGGGACTGAAAAATACTGTAAAAATACTACATGCAATTATTGGACTTTGCAGCCTGTTATTCTAATGCAGTGTAATCATGTGAGATTGAAGCTGTAGCCATGCTGTAGTCATTATGGACTTTTATGGCCTTTTGTCCTTTGTTTTTTACACTGCATCAATGTTATCAGAGTTTCAAACACTGACCGAGTCCATTTGAATTGTGTGGTGTGTTTGAATTGTATTGGGATTTGAAACTGCTGTTCTGTGTCTGTGAATACTCAGTGTTGAATCTGTTATTTCCTGTAGGCCAGAGCCACCCATCTTCTCTCTGTGTGCTTCTGACATACATCCATGCATTCTGTCAGACAGCATTTCCCCCCATGCCAGCCTTTCGTACTTGTGCGTAAACATACTCCAAACGCACTGGCTGCCTTTCTTTCACTTCTGCCAGCTGTAGTGTAATTATTTAGGTTTGCCCGGTCCTGCTTTGCACTGTTGAGAGATGGTTTATGGAACGTTTACATAAAGACCCTCGCTCTTTTACCTTTGCAGACCACCCATATGGATTTTGTAGTAGCTGCGGCCAACTTATACGGGCAGATCTACGGAATCGAGGGTTCAAGGGACCGTGAGGGCGTCCAGAAGATCCTGAATGGGGTACATGTGCCTGAGTTTACCCCCAAATCTAGTGTGAAGATTGCTGTGACAGATGAGGAGCTGGCAGAGAGCAAAGAGGAGAGGAAGGAAGAGGGTGAGTAAGCGGGATGTTGAATGTGAAATAAAAAAAAACTTTGCCAAAAAGTAAAATTTACAGTTTTCCTCTTAACCTCAAATGTAGTTCATAAGCCATGTTTGATGCCCAAAGTTAGCTTTTTCAGATTTGCACTCAGTTTTGCTGCAAGGCTAATGTAGCTGACAAGTAATGGAAGCTTACACCCCACAAATTAGCATCCTGCAAACTGCATGACTAAATCACACACTTCCTTCAAAACACGTTGAGTTGTTGAGAAATCTCAAATAAACTTGCTTATGTTTTCTTGCACTGTAAAAGTGGTCAAAAGTACCAAAATTCAGTGTCAGAAACCACAAAGCATCGAGTAGTACATTTGAATTTTTGATAAACAGTTTAGCTTCTCTCTGATGTGTGCAAAAGTTTGAATACCCTATTCAAATTCCATGTTTTTTTGTTTTTTTTTTGTTCAATGTTGATTTTCTAAGTGAAAATAAGTTAACAAATCCTCAACAGAGAACACACTTAAATTTTATTGCACAATTTTTGTTTATTTTGAGTTAATTTATTGGATCTGTAATATAAAGTGTGCCTTAACCTTTGTAGAGGCCACATTTTATTTGTAATTTTTCCCCATTATGTTGAACTCAGAAAATGTACAGTAATTGTGTATTAAAATGTGCTGAAATGTTCTTTGTGGATGATGTGTAACTTATTTTCACTTAGAAAAAAAAACAAAACATGGAATTTGACCAGGTCGGCCAAACTTTTGCATACAGCTATACATTCTTATATTTTAAAAGCATGAGATGTCTGAACTGCACCACCAGAGGGCAGTGTAGAGATTGTGTCTTATGTTTTGGTCAGAGTTTATTATTTGTTTTGTCCAATGAAGGAAATTTCAGAAAGACTACTGCAGCTGTCTAAAGGCTGCCAAATACCAGATGAGAAATGCTGTGGGTACATATGAAGTGTTGCAAAAAAGCACAATAAACATTAAGCTCAAGCTCATTTTATACACTGCTCATATTGATTTAATGGAATAAAACTGTCACCATGATCTAGTGAATTCAACACGTTTGATATCAGCTAATTAACTCTTCTCAAACTGTTTTCAATCTAAAAGCTTTGAGGGGAAAAAATAGCTATAATGTAAATAGGCTAGTGACATTCGCTGAGGTGAAAACAGATAGTTAGCATTTTATCACTGTCCAGATAAAAAACAAGTATCACCAAAAAGGCAGCTGTACAAGAGAAGGCAAAAACTTTTTGAACACAATTTGATGTCAAGAGCAGTGTTGGAGCATTTCTGTTAGCTTAATCATTATGAAATTTCCACACAATGTAAAGGGTAGCTGCTGTGCTCAAATAATGTAGAAAAATAAAAATAGAAAAAATTGGAGATTTATCTGTTTATTACATTTAACTAGCATGACCATCTCTACTCTACACTTGCACTAGGTGATCAAGTATATAGTGGAGAACTTTGTGGATCTCAGTGACCTCTCCGTCTTCTTCTCTCAGACAAAGCCAAGTTAGAGGAGCTGAAGCAGAAGCTCTCGAGCCTCCAGCTGCCCAGCCAGAACTTCCGGATGGTTCCGCTGGAATTTGAAAAGGTAGTTGTTTATTTTTTTATTTTATTTTTTTTATCAGTGCATGTGTGGATGCATCTGTGCATGTACAACATCAGACACATTTGTATGTGTTCTGCTGCTCACAGACACACTGGCGACCACTGCCAGGTAGGAGGTCTAACAGACCCACAAAACTGTTCCTTTACCACTCACCCTGAGACTTAAGGGTTCACTGACCCTTATCCAACTCCATCCCTAAGTAGCCCTAATGGAGTACAGAGCACAGTACAGTCCACTGTTCATGAACTGCTTTAAAAACCTCCAGCCTCATAGTGGTTGCTTCTCAGAAGGAGATCTAGGAAGAAAGGAACCTCATGAAAAGCTAGAGGAACTTCGGTCTTTGAGTTGGGATCCTCATTTTCCTGTGGTGGAACAGTGATGTGCACAAATTTGTTCTTTGAAGCAGCGGAGAGATGACTGACCAGACAACCGCACACTTCCACACTTACCCAGGGCAGCAAGTTCTGAACAATGTCACACTTTTCCACTCATAGAAGATGTTTAGAATTGGTTTAGTGTCGAACGGTCTAGACAAAGTACCAGAACTGCAATGATATTGCTTCATATTGTGATTGTGACATGCCTTCAATATGTTGAAAATAAATTCAAGTCAATAATGTCACTTTTAACCTTCATTCAGGGCCAAATGTACAGTTTGGTCCATAAATATTTGGAGGTGAACAAAGTTACTTTTACTGTTGATTTAGCTGTATAATCCAGCAAATTGAGTTGATATAAAATAATTAGATTAGATTCTTTGTTGTCGTCCAAAGAGGAAATTTGTTTTCGACAGGCTGTGTCATCGTCATTGTTCTGGGACGTATAAGAAATATAAAATAATGAGCTCAATATGCAGACTTATAGACTTCCGACTTTTTACATGACTAAGGCTTATTATTCAGTAACTACAGGGACTTCAGAGCAAACTGGCTGAGCTATTCTTAGGTTATAGAAGTGTGTAATAAAAACCTTTGGCCTGCTGGTGGGCCCTGGCCATTCAAGGGGTAATTTGAGGGTATTTACATCCAAATGGTGTAGGAATTGCAACCATTTTCATACATAGCCACACAATTTGTGGGGGCTCAAAAGTAATTGGACAAACTAGAATTATAAATAACATAAATTACATTAGCATTTCAACCCCTTTACATTCCAGGTGTTTTACATACTAAGGCTTATTATTCATTAAGTACAAGGACTTTTATATGCAAACGAATGGAGCTTTTTTAGGTTATAGTAGTGTGGAATAAAACTTTGGCTTGGTAAGGGGTTAATACTTGGTTGCAAATCCCTTGCAGGCAGTGGCTGCCTGAAGTCTGGAACTCATAGGCATCATCAGATGCTGGGCTTCTTCTCTGGTGATGCTCTACTGGACATTTACTGCAGTGGTCTGCAGTTCCTGCTTGTTCTTGGGCCATCTTCTTAAAAAAAAAAAACCTGTGTTACCTTCAGTAAATGAAATACATGCTCGATTGGATTGAGGTCAGGCGACTGCCTTGGCCATTGCAGATCATTCCACTTCTTTGCCTTAAAAAATGGGGTTGCTTTTGCAGTATGATTTGAGTCATTGTCCATCTGCAGTGTGAAGCACCACTGAAGCATTTGGCTAAATCAAGATGGTTAGTATAGGCGTTCACGCTTCAGAATTGCTGGTTTTGTCAGCAATCACATCAATAAATACAAGGGATCCAAGTCCATTGGCTGCAATACATGCCCACACAATAACTGTATCTCTAGATGAAGTGCTATGCGTTGGCTAATGAGCATTTCTTTCTCTGTACTCTTCTCTTCCCACCCTTCTAGTACAACGATGGGGAGAGAATCTTTCTCTCATCTGTACATAAAATAATGTTCTAAAATTTCAGTAACTTTGTCCAAATATTTCTGGATCTAACTGTGTATGAGTGCAAGCACAGCGCAAAATATGCTTTGATGCTACAGCAGTGTATCTGAAATTAGCGTTCGATTTACTAAGGCTGCGCATGGGACGTCAAACTGTGCACGCCCTCCCACGTTTTGCAGGATTCTTTCTCGAATGCATATGCATTAAATGCATTAAATGCATATGCATGAGGAAGACTTTTTTCAACACCCATAAACTCTTCTATTTGCTCAAACTGACACTAGTTGCTCAAATGTAAATCAAGCAGAATATGTAGTCAACTGCACTTCCAATATCTACACCTAGTTTTTATGCAATTCTTCCACGTTTTATTCCGTCCTCCTTCAAAAGCATATATTTGATGGCGAGAAATGCATTTTGTGCTCATGGCCTATAAACAGGGCATTTAGGGCTCGTACACCAATTTCGTACATAACATGTATAACCTTTAACTTGTTAAAATCCTCCCCCAGTGTAATTGGTAGCGGTTCATGTCCACATTTAAATGAATCAAATCCATCAGCATGTGGAAATGAAGCTTTCCATGTGCTGCTGTGTTTCCTATCACTGTGTAAAAGAAGCTCCATGCTGCCTTTATTGTTGGATGCACTCTAATAGTTTCTAGGAGAGCATGCACACACATTCAGAATTCACAAGGAGCTTATTATTGATCTGTTTCATCAGGATAATAATAAGGGATTACTGAAATGTCATTTGTTCACTCATGCAAAATGGTAGTTTGACAAAAAAACACGAAAACCAAATGAGAAATTTCCATCTTTGGTAGAGCACATTCTTTACAAATCAACATAAATGTGACAAAAGAATTAATCACATTATTATAGGAGGAGAGTAGATTGAAAGTCAGCCATTTCTTTTGCATCAGCCTTAAAAGGTTAAAGATTGTAGCTCTACACTCGTAATTTACTTCTGTTGGATGACATGAATGTCTTCTTTAATCAAAACGACATTGAACAACAGTGAGATTAAATTTCTTATTGCAACCTAATGTGATCAATATTGTGATAACAATTAACAAACAATGTATCATGCATGGATTTCTATTTGTTTTCCATCATCTTTGATCTTTCGTACTATGCATGACTTCAGAACGCCCCAATATCTGTCTCCTTCACCACATACGTTTACTGTCCTTTAGAGAGCACTAGGATTAAAGATCCCTTGCTCCTTTCATAGCTCTTCCTACATTAATACAGCACAGCCTGACAAAGTTTATGAACCTGTCTGTACATGCATGCTGGCATGTATTAGCTCCCATGTTCATGGGTTGAACCTACGTGTGCATTCATGTATGTGGGTGGAACTCAAGCCTAATCTCTTCTTCAGTGGTGACACATTCTTTGGTCACTCGCGTGTTGTACCTGAGTGAATAGGGAAGGCATGAGTGAGTCTGGGGCATTCCACAGGCATCAAATTGCAAGATTACACTACCTCATCCCCTCATTCATCACGCTCTTTCACCCCTCACCTGCCACAAAGCCTGATCGAGTTGCCAATATTAAATACATCATAGCTTATTCAGTATGCCATTACTATATTTGTGCCCTGTAAACTGTACTAAAGCAGTTTTACGGTCTTCTATAGCAGATCTATAAAACATGATATTTTATACACACTACTAAATAGGGATGTGACGGCAAAAATTTGTGCACTGCTGGTTTAAAAAAATACATTAATTGATTTACTTCATGCAAGATTAGTTTTTTTTTTTCGTGTGAACATAACTGAACTTTTAAACCTGCTGAATGGTGTAATATCCTTCTTTAATATCATATTTATTAAACTAGCATAGAAACGCAGCCGCACTGGTTAGATAAGCTCAGTGTGGCAGGTAGATATCATTTCTGCTGTCAACAAGCTCAAGAAGAAAAGAGAAATTGAAAGTTCAGAGAAAGAAAAGAAAGCACTGTGTAAATAAATGAAGTTTTCCACACCAAAACATTCTACAAATTGAATATAAGAAACAATAACATAGACTGAGAGCACATGTTGCATCCAAATCGCAGTAAATTTCCTATATCTGAGCCTGAGAGAGTAATTTTAAAGGCAAATATTCTTTCAGAACATTTTTAAGGCTCCTGCCTCCATCTAGTCACTGTGTCTGTTGCTATTGTTGAAGTACGTTACCCAACAACATGCTGTTGAGACACTTATTTTTAATTGGTGAAGAAAATTCCATCTAAAACCATTGACCACTATTTTACTTCATTAATCAGGCAGAATATGTAATCAGCCATGCTTCCAAACTTCATCAGTTTTCCACATGATCCTCCCATGTTTTGTGTAGTCCTCCTTAAAGTGTATACATTGTTACTGTATACTGAGCCACTGACAGGACAGGCTCACTGAGCACCAACTTGACATTATATGTCTCTGCTCTTTACTATGCACTGCCACTTTGTTTATACATCCATGCATGTTGCACAACTATTGCACAACATATGTTATTGTTTATAGTGTTTAGTCATTTGGTTCATCCATTAGACGTGACCTGCACCACTGCACTGACACCTGCCTAATATTTATGCGATTTTACTTAATCTTGTACTACACATTGTGTTTAAGTGTATTTTATTATATATCTTTATTTTTTTCTATTTATGCATCAGCATAATAGCGTACAGCAATACTTTTGCTTTTGTTTTGCTCTTTACTGCACTTTGTGCTGCTGTAATAGGTGACTTTCCCTCTGGGATTAATAAACTGATCCATCCATCCATCCAGTGTTTTTTCCATGCTGCATGTTTAGATTCTTACCTATGCAGACAAAATTGCAGAGAATATCAGTCCCACTATAATCTGCACTGTACAAAATGTCAGTTTGGCTTTGAAAATGTGCAAATAAGCAATTTAACTGGTTTTATTCAATTCAAATACTTTGAATCGAACAATGCAAAGCAAAATTGTAGTTTAGATGAACAAAAGCAATATTTTACGTCAATTCAAGCCTCAAAACACCTCAAATCTGCACTGTTCCACTCTTTACAGTGTATAAAAATGCACAAAAGTATGTTGCATAGTAGCACAGGCAAAGTTGAACAGTGCATGCTTTTTTTAATGTTTTGAATAACAGTATGTCGGTGTCAGAAACCACATAAGCAAATGTATTCGAGACGACCTACTAACAGCTTTGACACAGTTTGAGGTGGGGCTGAACGATTTGGGGAAAATATTTGTGATTTTTCTGACTAATTGCGACTGCAATTTAAATTTGCGATTATTTTCTTTATTAAGGTTTAGGCTATTTTTTGCCATGAAGACCAGAGGCTAACCTGAGGCTTGACTTCTGAGTGTATTGTGCCAGACAGCCAGTTAAGTTGTGGTTGTGATGTCACAACGCATGAGGTTTGGCTGCCTTTGACTGGTCTAACTTATCAACAGGCAGTTCAGTGTTATTAGGTTAAATTTCCTCACTTAAAACTGAAGAACATTTTTGATAATATAGGCTATAATTAAAAAAAAATGCAACTCTTGTTGCGCTCTCTTAAATTGCGATTTTGATATAGAAATGATTCATCTTTCAGCCCTAACTTGAGGCAAGTGATAGTTCGCACACTATTAACTGGTGTGCATGAGCTTCCTTTACCTGTTCCTTTACCGTAGCTCCAGTGCCGAACTAAAGAAGCAAACTTCAAAGACATTTTCACTGATCGACTACATTTAATACTGAAGGCAAAATTGTGTACATTTTTTTGCTGAACTGTTCCTTCAGTTATGTTTAAGTTAAACTAAATACACAATCAAATGAATTAAAGGATTCATCTTGTTTTCTTTCTGTGATAGTAACATGAAATGTGACTATAGTCAAGGTGGATCTTGAGAAAAGCGATATTAAAAGCTTTGTGTAAGACATCCAGAGAAACATATGAATACCTGTTAGAAGAAATCAAACGCAGTGTTATGCGTAATGGTGTACATTGCGTCTGCCTTTTCAAATGTGCTGTCACCTTAGTCTCTGTGCCTTACGGCGAGTGTGGCCGCAGTGAGGGAGGGTTGCCAAAGCGCACCCCCTCAATTCCCCTCCAGTCACATGGCCCTTTGAAGAATCAGCATGACTGCAGTATGACCTCATATGCACTGTCACCTCAAAGGGGAAATTAAGTTTGGGACACAATGGCGAGCTGGTGACAGAGTTGTGCATTTGGCTTGACATGGCAACAATATAGCTGGCACAGGATGAGCCCACCTTCTGTATCTCCGAATTCAACACCTGCGCTTTCCTGCAACTACATCAGGCAGATTGATCAGTATTATGGCTTTCTTTGTCACCTGTGCATTTTTCCATGGAAAATCAGGAACAGCTGGTGCTGTGGATATTATGGTAGACAAAGCATGGTCTAAACAAACAGGTGGTGGAACTTTTTGTCTTTTGAAAATGAAAGTGGCCTTTTAACCACCACTGTCATCTCATAATTCTGACGCCTGGCAGTCTATAGCTCATGTTTAACTGATCTGTCTGTGTGAAACTGAGATAAACTGTGAATTTATTCTGTTTCTAGGATGATGACAGTAACTTCCACATGGACTATATAGTGGCGGCGTCTAACCTGAGGGCAGAGAATTATGATATCCCAGCAGCAGATCGACACAAGGTGGGAGATCACTGTTAAAGCCAGTCTGCTGTAGTCTAATGCACCTCTCTTCGTCTTTGTGTACAGGGATGAGGGAAGGTGTTTTAAGTTGGGTGATGCTGTAACTTCAAGCAGCATAAATGTGACCTCTTGTAAAATAATGCTTGGATAATTTACATCAAACAGATTGTCATCACATGCTACAATGTGGTAAGAGATAACAATATTTGGGTCTCAGAACGAACCTAAATTCTGCACTTTTACTCTGGACACCTAAACCTGTTTGTTTTTCAATGGCATGCCCCCCAGAGATGCTGGTATTTGGTGAGGGAAGTGTTTTGGCCCATTGTAAATAAAATGCAGGGCTAACTTAAACAGTGCACGACTACTACAGTAGTAGTAATATTTTTGTCTAAGTTTGAAAAAGAGAGCATTATAATTAAACAGTGATTGAATGTCTATTTTCCCTAAATGTAAAGCCATTTTGATCCAAAGACTAATGCTTAAATGTTCAAAGTGTATATTGGTTTCTAAGGTAAATAAAGATTCGCTGATCTTGTATTTTCATGGCCAATTCTGATGTCTTTAGTGCCGAATTGGCCAATGGCAAATTTTATTACTTTTATTGATTTTTGAATAGCCTATTGGCCATTTTTTGTAATGGGCAACAACAAAACAACTCTATTAATTCACTTTTTTCACAAGGACCTTGTAGCTTGCAGGCTGAGTAGACACACTCATATGAAACATGGCCCTAATAAATACATTCAGAAGAGCAGGCGTTTTCATGGATAACATGCTGCACTAACAGTTCTAGCACTTTTCTGGCAGGGGTCAGTTTTTGACTGAGCGTACAGCATAGAACAGTAGAAAATGCAAGAATGCATGTACACTTACGGTCAGAAATCACATTGTATGTGAAGTAAACAGCCCACAACCTTATTCAGCCAGAAACGATATAAAGAGGAGTCAGGACACTGTTTGAAATATGAATGGAAAACCTTGTAATGCTTAACAGAGTCTGTTTATGGAGAAAGGCCTGCCTTTCAATAAAAAGAGCCCATCGGCTCTCTGGTTACGCCACCAGCAGAGAAGGGCCTCCGCTTCATCATGCAGTAGCCAGAGCAACTCAAAAAATCAGATTTTTTGTGCATTACTGAGCACAAATACTACAAACTATTTATGCAGTTTTTGTCAGATTTCATCAGTGATTTCAGATGTGTTTTGGAAATGCTAGTTTGACCTTCAGTTTTGAGTGTTTAGGTCTCTCCCCAGTCAGTGGAGCCTGGTCCTGTATGGCTGGAAATAACCACATGCGGCATTGCAAAGATGGCCGCTGAGTGAACAGACTTTTCTGTAAAGATTTTGATTGAATCCTTTGTATGAATGAACACAACAACCTCAGAAGGCTACTGACAGGCTAACAGGTTCCTCCACTACTATTCAGAAATAGGCCACCATAAAATAAAGAACTGTTCAATATATGTAATTACATATCCATTAGTTTGGTGCTAACAGACATTAGCATTGTGAATATTGAATAGTGAAATACTAGTGAAGTGTTTATGATTATGTGCTAAAAAAATTCAGAACTCATAAACATGCTGGAATATTCCAGGCTTTATATTAGTACAGGTTGTGCTAGTAGGTTGTGCTGAGGACTACAGGAAAAAGACTAGCACTGTTATTAAAAGTAATGCTCTGCATGAACTACATAATACAATATAAAATAGTTTTCGGTGAGAAAGTACTGTTCATACTATTCTTTCAAAAATTCAGATGCTATAATAGCAAAAATAATTGAAATTCCATCTTTAATTCCAAGTTCTTTAGAAATGGCTAAAAACAAATTTTATGCAGTTTAATAAATTGGCCATTGATCTTATGATTTTATGATTAAATGATTCTAAGTGTTTGCGCTTTTAAAGACGACTCTAAATAATTGTGACGTGCCTATTTATGAATATATTTTGAAAACCACATTTTTTATTGAGAAATATATTTCTGAAATGCAAAAATATTGCTTTTTGACTTGCAGAGCAAACTCATCGCCGGACGCATCATCCCAGCCATCGCCACGACAACGGCTGCAGTGGCCGGCCTCATGTGTCTGGAACTGTATAAGCTGGTACAGGGCCACCGGCGCATCAGCTCATTCCGCGTCGCGTACGTTAACATGGCCGTCCAGTACTACGTCCTCTCACAGCCGGGCAGGGCTCCAACATTCATGGTGAGTGAGACACTTTCCCCCGGATGGGATGTCCAGTTTTATCCAAGAAAACCTGATGACCAACACTTAAAGTTAAAACAGCAATTTTTTTTTACAGCGTATGCTCTGATATCACATCTAATTATCATTCAAGTGCTGCAAATGATGCATTACATTATGTTACTAGGACTCTTCTCATGCTCATAATTACGCTCAGAAACCTCTCATGCAGGTACATGGCCTTTATGGAAAAATTAATTTGTCATGTTTTTTGTCTGAAACAATGTAAAGCAATATAAATTTAAATGAACGAAAGCAACAATTTACATCAGTTCAAATACTATTCTTGCAGTATAGTACGCCTTCATTTAATTCAAACATCATAGTTGTTTTTCTACAACGTTGCTCGTGATGTTTGCCTGTCTAGCCACATTAGCAGGCAGATGTTTGGAGACATCTTGCCTTGTTTTGGAATTTTCTGAGTGCTATTTATTATTTTTAGTTAACTAAAAAATACTTGTAAAAGTTCTGTTATCATAGAACAGCTATGAGCCAACGATTTGTCTATATGCATCAAAGAGAAGAGCAGTTCTGCCTAAATATTGATTTGACAGTTTTCGTTTCAGGACTGTTGTTAAAAGCACATGTTGAAACTGGTTCGGCCCAAAGCTGCTTTAAACATCTGAAAGGTTTGAGTGTTCACACCACAACAAGAGAGTGTGGGTTATGGTATTATTCACAGTATTAAAAAAGAAAAAACAAAACAGCAAGATCTAAGAGCTTTGTAGTTAACATGTTATTACAAATGGACAAAGAAACTGTGCTCATTGTGGGAAAACTAGGCATCCCCAAACTTTTGACTGTACTTCAGGTACCAGTGTATGCATGTCGCTCCAAGGCAGAGCTTGAGTGCAGCGTGCATTCATTCATTTTAAAGAAGTATGAAGTAAGAAACCCAAAGGCTGAAGTCTAAATGTTTAAATCATTCAAAGGAAACCTCTGCAGCAGCTGAACTCATTGCGCTACGAGGGTGTTTTCAGTGTGTGTGTGTGTGTGTGTGTGTGTGGAGCCACAGTCTGGACCTGAATCAGCCCAGGCTTAAACGATCCCGCTGTTATCCTGAGGGCTTACAGCATTTAGTAACTGTACACCCACCCACACAGACCCTTCAGCCAGCTCCATGCGTTTACTCAATTTAGAGGACTTTGCCCAAACAGAGTGCGTTCAGAATTCAGAGACGGAGTAGAGACGTGCTTTCTGAAGGCTTTCTGAAGCACTTAGACGCGAGGCTTAGACAAGATTAATGTTTAAAACTGGCGTTTTGAGGGTTCGCGTCTGTGCTTCATGTAGAAAGGCCTCTATTGAGTGGAGCTACAGCTGAGCCAAACCCTGCGTGAAGCCACAGGTTGGCCTTTTGAGAAGGCAAAAAGGAGGAGAAGAGGTCACGGCTGATACAATAACACCCTGCAGTCGGCTGTAACGATTTATTAGCCTACAATGATTGTATTAGATTGTGATTCTTTAGGAGAAGATTGACTACGTCATGAAATCTGAAGAGGTCATGCCTGATGAAGTAATACATCGCAGTTGCCCACCTTTTGGAAAAGGAGGTCCCCCACCCCCAGAGCAGAGTCAGAGATCAGGGTCTTTTTTACCCAAGGGGACAGGCGGTGAGCTGGGCTTTGAAACACGCCGTATTGAGTTACTAGTGAGCTATGACAACAACCTAGTGTGCCCTAACTGTTCTCTCTCTCTCTCTCTCTCTCTCTCTCTCTTTCAATCTTCTATTTTTTATTCCAAGTAATTTCTGACAACTTGTGCTGTAGACCATGTGTAAAAAAAACATTGAAGAAGTGTATAAAGGCTCAGATTTTTAACAAACTATCTGGTGATTCACAACAGAATTAGGTTTAGGATTAGGAATGGAAGCAGAATTAGGGCTAAGATTAGGAGTAGAAACAAAATTAGGGCTAAAATTAGGAATAGAAACAGGATTAGAGTTAGGATTAGGAATATAATTAGGGCTAAGATTAGGAATAGAAGTAGAATTCGGACTAAGATTAGAAATAAGTAGAATTTGGACTAAAATTAGGAATAGAAACAGGATTAGGGCTAAAATTAGGAAATAGAAACAGGATTAGCAATAGAAACGTAATTAGGGCTAAGATTAGGAATAGAAACGTAATTAGGGCTAAGATTAGGAATAGAAACAGGATTAGGATTAGGAATATAAACAGAATAAGGGCTAAGATTAAGAATAAAAACAGAATTAGGGCTAAGATTAAGAATAGAAACAGGATTAGGAATAGAAACAGGATTAGAGTTAGGATTAGGAATAGAAACAGAATTAGGGCTAAGATTAGGAATAAACAGGATTAGGAATAGAATTAGGGCTAAGATTAGGAATAGAAACAGAATTAGGGCTAAGATTAGGAATAAACAGGATTAGGAATAGAATTAGGGCTAAGATTAGGAACAGCAAAAAAAGATTAGGGGTAGAAAATGATTAAGATTATGAATCTAGACAGGCTTAGAGTTAGTATTAGATTTCTATTCAGTGTAAAGTTAGGTTGGAGTCAGGGTTAGGTTAGGGTCAGGGTTATAGCTGTCTTCTTGAATGTAAGTCAATGTAAGCACCTATGAAGTGTCTACTGTAGGCTATCAAAATAGTGTTACCCAAATTCATGTTCCATTTGAAAGATTTGCGTTTATTATCTGTCATAGAGACTGTGTTGTTTTTAGGCCTTTGAATGTGCACTTCTCTTCTAGCCTTCCATCTCTCCCTTTCACTCCCTCCAGCACTCGCTCTGTCTTTGTTTCTCTCTCTCATGTGTCTGGCAGCAGTCTGCTCTCAGGAGGGAGGAGAACGTTCCACACGTGGGACTGGTTAAGCATCGGCCAGAACACACTCCACATTAGCACACTGATACTGTTTGACTGCAGTCACTTGGCAGAGAGAGGGAGAGAGAAACAGAGAAGGAGGGAGAAAGAGAGAGAGAGACCTGAGTGAGCGCCCAGGGCTCCTGCAAGGGGGAGCATTTTTCCAGCTATATTTTGTATACATTTTTTCTTCACTGGCCCTGTAGAAGTTGACTTATAGAAGAGAGAAAGAGAGAGTAGAGAGACACCAAAATGAGAGAGAGGGAAGAGAAAAAGAGACCATGAGAAATAGAGTAGAGAAAGATATAGGGAGAGACCAAAGTGAGAGAGAGAAAGAGTAGAGAGACTAAAGAGAGAGAAACAGCAAAGTGAGAGGGAGAGAAAGAGTAGAGAAAGAGACCAAAATGAGAGAGAATGTGAGAGAGAGACTTAAATGAGAAAAAAGATGGGAGACACCAGAGAAAGAGAAGAAACCAAAAAGAGAGAGACACTAAAATGAGAGGGAGACAGAGAGTAGAGACAAACAAAGACTGAGAGAGACCAAAATGAGAGGAAGAGAGGGAGAAAATGTAAGGCAGTTTGTTTGATTTAGTGTGATTTTTGCCATTTTTCAGGTTTTGGCATAATTTGAAAACGTCTGTTGTTCTTTACATTGTGTGTAAATTCCATGATGAATGGACCAAAAGAAATGGCCTAAAATGACTTGGAAAAATGTCTGGTTCCATTGACTTACATTAAAAGTAGAGTATGTTTTTTCTCTCTCCTGTAAAGTTACCATTTTGGAGGTACAAGGTTTTGTTCCGACAACAGCGATGTAGTAAAACATAATAAGAAGGTTGTTTTTAAGAAAGTTATTGGTATGTGAGTTAAGCTTTGGATACACTACACCGGTGGTTCCCAGCCCTGGTTCTAGAGGCCCTCTGCTCTGCACATTTTAATGTTGCTCCCAACACACCTTATTCAACTCATCAGCTCATTAACAGACCCTTACTGAGTTAAAGTGGGAGTACTGTAGCAGTGAAAGCAATGAAATGTGCAGAGCAGTGGATCTCCTGGACCAGGGCTGAGAACCACTGCAGTACACAACTGAGGTCAGATTATGAAATGACTCTCACACTTTCCCACTGATTTCTGCAGATATGGGGGAACACACACGAACGCAGCTTGTAAAATGTTGCTGAACTGAACTACACTTGCGCTCTCTTGTTACTAAAAGTTGCAGATAAACCAGATGTAGAGCAGCTTGAACAAATCAGTTCTTACTGCCCAGATAAATGGCTTTACATATTACTTTCTCACATGGCCCACACTCTTAAAAAAAGATGGTTATTTGAGTGTTCACAGTTCTACGTAGAACCATTTTCTCTACTAAAGAACGCTTTGCATGATTAAAGGGTTCTTTGCATGGTAAATCGTTCTTCAGAGTGATAAAGAATATGCTGCAGGTTTTATATATAACCTTTTTGAAAAGGGTTCTATATTGGGCTCCCGAGTGGCGCAACCATCTCAGCGTTGCCCCGATCATCAGGAGATTGCTGGTGATGCTGCAGCCTTCTGTGTCCAGGAGTCCAAAAGGGCACAATTGGCCTCGCTTTCTGGGTGGGTAGGATGGCCCCCTCCCCCCATCACCCAAACGCAGTGCTAGTCAGCGCAGGCATCTGTTAGCTGACGTGATAGAACTAGCGCTCGACGCTTTCCTCCGAGCGCGTTCGGCTGTCCGGTGATGATGTGTGAGCAGCAGTTGGAAAAGATGCGGTGGCGCTTCACAGGTCTCGGAGGAAGCCTGTGTTAGCCTTCTCCCTCCTAGTGCTTTTGGTATTGTGTGATTGGTGGAGCCATAACTAGTGGGTGGAATTGGATACGAATAAATTGGGGAGAAAATTGGGGAAAAATATAAAAATGTTCTATATTGAATCAAAAAGGGTCCTGCTGTTGTTACAAGCTTGATATCGTAATAAAAGAAGAACCCTTTTTGGTGCTATTTAGAACCCTTTTCAAAAAGGTTCACTACCATCTGCAGCACATTCTCCATCAATCTGAAGAACTGTTTCACCATGCAGAGAACACTTTAATCATGCAACGGGTTCTTTGAGCGTTCATGGTTCTATGTAGAACCGTTTTCTTTCCTGAATAACCCTTGA